TCCGCCCAGCGGATAATCCGCCCAGCGGATAATCCGCCCGGCGGATCTACTCCGCCTCATTGAAATAGGACCTAGTTTTCTAGCGCAAGCGGCGAGCCGCCCGAGTTTCCGAATCTCAGACATGTCAAAGCACAACTCACAGGGAGCAAAGGTCCTGACTAGGCGGCCTCCGCCCGCCGATGGCATCTCTGTCGCAAGCTGCCAGCAGCTCCCACCAGTTCGTCCGAACACAAAATAGCTGCACATGATATCTGTAAATAGCCAGCACTCAACTCATGCGGGTAACAAAGAACTGCGACAGAATGAAAGACCCAGCAAGACTGCCATCCAACATGTGCACTTGAATCTAATTCTGGCGAAGCTGCCGACTTCTTTCCACGGCCACCCAAGGGTCAGTCAAAAGCCGCATGGCATCAGGTCGTGCTCGGCAGCTAGTAACCATCACACATAACCTCGACACCACCACAGAACAACCGATACTCTTCGGTGCTCAACTGTCATGGTGTGCATAACATCAAGCAAGGCACGAAAGACTCATTATGATCTCGGTGCCCACGTGGAAAATTCCTGCACTCAGACACTGGATCACAGCATGTGTATGGGTTGCTGCAACGGGGTCCTGTGCTAATGCGGAACATGGAGAAGCCGTGCAAATCGTGATAACCATCAGCAGCCTTAAATGCACCACACTTGTACATCAACACCACAAGTGCACATTCCAGGCTTTAACCAGGCAGCTTCCTTGCCGCCGGCGAATCTCCACCATTTTGTGGCGTGCTAGTTTTGTCTACGGACATAGCTGCGTGTAGCGAATGACCCTTGATTATGTATGTTGCTTTAGATTGGAAGACAACTACGGGCAGTCCAGTCGCATGTGCCTCGGAGCCCAACGGATGATGCGATGCAGCTTCCACACCCCAGTCCTGGAATTAGGGTATGAGCGGGCTTCCGATGTAGGGCTTAGGCTGTGTTATTGTACTTTGACAGGATTTCAGGCATGGGTGACGTAGGAAATTAGACATCTTACGGCTCTTCTATTGTGTTCATGACACTTATTCAATAATTGAAAGAAGCTTCTAGAGATGCAACTGAGTGGACTGCTTGAGGACTTTGTGATCCCAAACAGAACAGAACCAACTGGTACCCTCTGAAAGTCCCTATGTAATTAGAATAATATAGAGGCTTAGATGATTACCTGTACTATTTGGAGGGTTCCTTATTATAATTGTAATATTAATTGGCCCCCAAGATCCGATTATTCATTACCCAAATTGAACACCTGAAGTGGCACGTTGATTTGAACTACCACGGGGGCTGAAGTAGCATGACAATGGGAACCTATGATTCATGATGATTCATATGATAATAGAAAATAGCATATTCGATCTCAGTAACTGTAAGGTGCGATAGGTTCTATAACCTTGGGCCACAGCGTTGAACAGCTTTTGGCCGTTGCCGACGCAGGTGCGGAGACAGCCGGGTTGCCCCAACTCAACTCACCCTAAGGCTGGATGTACCCATACAGTACATACTTAAGCCTGACAGGGGTTCATGTATAGGACCTGTAAAGCCCAAGTATATTCCTAATAAACCCCAAGTACATGCTAAGAAAGGTACATGGAGCCTTAGGGCCACGGGTACGGAAATGGGCGCCAGGAGCCTGGCATCGGCGTCCGCGAGACTGGCATGCCTAAACCCTCGACCCGATGGTTTGGGGCTTAGGGTTTTTAGGGTTTAAGCTTTTTAGGGTCCGGGATTTAGGGTTTTGGGGTTTAGGGCGTTTAGGGTTTTTGGGTTGAGGGTTTAAGCATTTGCGAGGAAGGAGTGTGCACCGTTTACCCCGTTCGCTGTCAAGCAACTAGATTTGCAAGCGCAGTAAATGTCCCGTGAGCATGCTGGGCATGCAAGAAAAAACTGATGTCATCGCATACAAGGGCCCCGGCTCGAACATGTTAGCGCGTCAGCGTGTTGATCACGACAACGGTAGATCGTACAACAAGCGGTGCAGGGAAATCCACAAACAGCAAACACTTATTATTGTTGAATAGTGGGGCCGCTAGACAAATCAAGTGGAACACAGTCGAAAATTCGTTCTGCACGGCAAACCCGCCCGGTCTTGATCCAAAAGCCCCCTGCGTTGTTCAGCCTGTCGAAACCTTATGCCTCATGCCCAAACAGAGCTCTGTGGCTCTGTGTGCTTCGTACTGCTGCCAGACCAAAAGCCCCGTCCCCAATTCGAGATGCCTGGCTCCGCACAAAAAAAAGGTATTTCGTGGCACTCTAGTTGAAGCATCTGGGCGAGCAGCTCGTCTGGGTGAAGCTTCTCCCGATGGGTTTGTACGTCGGGCAGTGAGTTGTATGAAACATGGAATTTCCACGCATCTTCACCGTCAATTGCGAGCTACCCAGCCAGTAAAACAGTGCTCCGTGACAGCATGAAAGTTCGGTCAGCGAACCGAAGCCTTTGTTGAGCGACCCTAACACCTGAGCCCTTATTAATGAAAGCCTAAACCTCTCAAGGTAGGCTTCTTGGAGCTTCAAGAGGCACTCAGGGATGATTGAAGATCACCGTCACTAAACTCCATCCTGGCAGCCGACACTGGGCAAGTCAAGGCCACAGTCCCTACGCCGTGAAACGAGAGGTTTAGGGATCCAGTTTTTACATTTAGAGTTCAGACAGACTGCAGGGTTGAGGGTTTTCCAGAGTATACTATGGTATTAGTGGTTTCCTTGACTTCTATGTTCGAGCCTGTTGACCAAATCCAACACCCCAACAGCCACCACATTTAAAGCCACACCCGCCTTCATAATCCGAACAAGGTGTCAGTGTATATAGGGGTATAGTATGGTATGCTTATACTTCGGAGCCGGAAAGAGCGCAATTACTACGTATTCACAACTCCCCTAATGCGCCTTGGTTTTCACACCCGGGACCAGCTGAGAGAGTTGGCGCGCCCAACATCAAGGCTGCCAAGCGTCTCACCTGAAGTTTGCGTTTGATGTAGGGACCTTGATAGTCAGAATCTGGTTCCTTCAAGGGCTGCTATGAAGGTTGCATAAGGGCTCTATGATTTAGGGAGCTTAAAAGTTATAATAGGTTTTTTGATGGTTATTGTAGAGCACATATCATCACCAAACCTGAAAGGACAATGGTACTAGTAATTTTTCCGACCCTCATATTGACCACAAGCTATGGGATTGGACCCCTCGGGTTCTGAGCACCTCCAGTATATATCCGTACCATTGCAGCTCAGACATCGGACAAAAGACTTCGGTGAAGGATCCCTGAGCAAAAGAAACACAAGCCAGGCATCCGAACGGCGGAGGCCCAAGACAACAAACATGAAACGAGGTGAGGAAGAGTGGCAGGCAGATCAAAGGTCAAGAAAGGAAGGTCGCAACCAGGAATCTACGGCCTGCTTATTGCTCCACAAACGTGTACGATGTGCGCTGAACGTCCAAGGTACTGGCAGTAGCTTAAGAGAAAAATGCGCGATGGATGTTTCCGATGCCCAGCCTTGGGACATGTGGAAATGGAGTTGCTATGCAACCTATTCTCCATAGCTATCACCGTTAAGTTACTGTAACTGGATCGGTTTCACAAAATCTCGGAGAGCGAAATGCCGAAATCCCAAGACTCTAAACTTTAAGAGCTCTCAGAACGTCAAGCAGCACGCCCGGTAAGATCACCAGCCCGGCCTGTCTTCGCGTTCAGGACGTACACATGACCATCCTGGCAGGAGCCGGCCACCTGGGATAGCAAGGAGTCTAATGTTGGGGCCTCAATAATTAGAACAGGGTTTGTGGGGCCCATTATAGTAAGAAACCCCCAAAGTAGTAAAGGTAATTATTTGGGCGCCTATATTATAGTTGTACGATGATTGTAATAAGGAGCCCTACTCAGTCATCTGGGCTTGCTTCCGAAAGATTGACGGTATTTGTTCTATACTAGAGGTCCTGAGGCCTACGGTTTTGTGCTTTGAAGTTTTGTGGGCTTGAATGGGAATGTGCAGCATCTTGGAGGCACTCTACGGACCCGAACAACTCGTTGATGAACATGTGCTTCATTAACACTGCCAGCGCGATAAGCAACTACCACAAAAGGAAATCACGATCAAATGTTTTCGCACCCATCCGCATCATACTCAGTCAGGCACATCGAACCAACTAGCACAAGTCCAAATGAAAGAAGTGCTTACTTGGACCTGTTGTCTGGACTTTCGGTGGGCGGGTTGACAAGGAAAGCATCCCAACCGCGCCCGTGGACAGCTCGACTGAAGCCGCACAGTGGACTCAGAACCCAACACCCTGCACCTTAATACGGGATAAGAAAACCCCAACAGCCCATAACAACAACGACGACGACCACAGCCACAGCCAACGCCAACAACAGGACCAACAACACCAACGCTGTTGGACCAACACCACCAGCACCAGCACCAGCGCCCAGCAGCAGCAGCAGCAGCAGCAGCAGCAACAGCAGCGGCAACAACAACAACAACAACAACGACAGCAGCAAAAGCAGGACTGCAAGACAGCAAGAACGACACCAACAATGACAAAATGTTAATCACAATAGAAAGGACACACTAGTAATGCCAATGCTAGCCACACCCGGTCTGCAAGACTGCGAAATACATCGGCCGTTTCCACGCTTTCGCATCAAGGCGCCTTCGTCCCGTCGTTGTTCCAACAGATGTCCGTAAAAGGGCCTAGGAGACGCATGTAGGGCTTAAGAGTGTAGTGTTTAGGGCGTGCCTTCACAATGCGACACTGCCGTAAGCTTCCTCTAAACTCTGCAATAAGGTCGAGAAGGAACAGGACACGCAAAGCTGCCAGAATGAACACAAGCACCGTAGCTGGACAGCAGCTGGACTCGGATGTGTTGTCTTGGAATCGGCTTGCTTACAGAGCTTGCAAAGGGGACGGCCATGGCAACAGCGTGCGAAGCAGATCGCACAGAAGTTTCCCGCTTGAGGACAGGCTCGAAAACAGTTCGTCTTTCGGCAATGCTGTTGATTCTGCGCGACAATCAGCTTGGTCCCATAAGCTATCCACCGATCTCCGGCACCCTCACGACAAGTGATGCTAGTCATTGGCACTTGTCTAAAAGTCTAAGCTGTCATCAGACAGCAGGGCAGAGCACAATTTGCCCAACAAGGTGGCAATAGCAGACCACTTCGGAGTTCGACAACGACATGCTGCAGGCCAGCAGCAATAGTCGATCGACTTCCAGACCAGCTTCCCTGCAGGGTTTAGGGCTCAGGGCGTGGAGTTCAGGGTTTGGGGACAGGGATTAGGAAATCTCAGGGTTTATGAGGGTTCAGGCTTTACGGCTTCTAAGCCCTGAAAATCCAAGCCCCACTAAACCCTAAACCCTGAACCCTCAAACACCCTACAGGCCGAGCTAGGGCTTCACGAATTTACACAGCTGCTGTGCTGCCTCTTAGGGTATGTCTGTTCGAAACCGATTGTTGAAAGCTGAAAATGATACATTGGCTTGCTGCCATAAACAACTCAACTGCAAGTACACCCCACCCGACTTCCTATACCTACCTGCCTCCTACATGCAGAGCTACATGCATACATCCAGACTACCTAAGTTCAGACGGGTTTCATCCTTCCCCCCCGACCTACATACAGACAGTCTTACATGCATGCACCTACGCCGACGCCTACGCCTGCCAGCCAGCCTACACATTACATCATGTACTGCATCATGCGCATGCATGCAGTACAAGATCAGAAGGTGATGCACCAACATATGCAAAGCGTACGCTTCTATTGGTATGCCAACCCACTTCACATGCAGATGCGTGTATGTATGTATGTATGTCTATGTATGTGTAAATGTACATGTATACGTACATGTTTATGTCTATATGTCTATGTATATGTACGTGTATGTGTGCGTGTATGTCTATGTGTATGTTTGCATGTCTATGCATGTGCGTATGTATGCATGTATGCATGCATGCATACATGTTTATTTATCCACATGTCGATGGATGTGTACGGGTGAACGTGACACGGCATAGCCACCCGCCAGCACATGCACATGCCTCTCTGGAGGTGATATTTACGTATTCTGATGCTTATGAAATATAGATATTGACATTGTACCGGTCCTAATCATCTGCACAACATCTCATCTTCCAGCATGCCAGGAAGAGTGTAAACGGGAGAAAAAAGCATCTCCACAGTGGCCTAAACTCTAAACCAAGTGTTTGCGTTTCTCAATGGCCAATCGAACATGCACTGTCAAAGCGACGTGTTTCCGGACAAATGGCATGTAGATGCCTGGCCTGAGTCTGCATCGAAGAGCTGAATAGCCGTGCCCGAACATGAGCAGAACGCAATCAAGGTATGCTTCGGGCACCACGAGATACCTGCGGCTAGTAGTGGCCTGAATAATGGGGTTCGGGGTAGATTGCAACAAAATCGACATAACATTCCTTCAAACTCAACACGATTGTTGCGTACTTAGGCTTCTACAGTAGAACATTTGGTGAGGTTCTTGGGGATTTGTGGTGGGTTCGGGGATCAAGCTCCTTCTTCTGTCGAGTCTGGATGTCCGGAGGGGTTAAGGGATGGTTTAGGGCTGTTTATGGCACTAGGATTTACCCATAGGCCCCAAAGTAGTTCCTTTTGGGGATTACCTAATAGGATTCTTTATACGAACCCCCAAAAGGAACTACTTTGGGGCCTTAGGGTAGGCTGTAGAGTTTTAGCGTTTGGGCTCTAGGGTTTTTAGGCTCTAGGGTATTGCAGAGGCTAGCAGCCAGTGGGATCACTGAAGAAACTGACGGAATAAATACGTTCAGCTGGAGGATCAGAATGATAATGATGAGGATGAGCTCGGTGGAACCAGAAAGGTCAAAGAGTATCATGATGATGGTAATGATGCGCCGATGACGACTTCGGCAGCTGTGCTTTTGCTGTTGCTGTTGTTGTTCTTGTTGCTGTTGCTGCCGTAATTACTGTTGCTGTGCGCTGCTGATTTGTGTAAGCTCTAGCGTTCCTCCTACTACTGTGTGTTTTCTGCCTGCAAACCTGAGGGGATGATGACTCTTCACCGAACTTGCTGAGGTCTATGCGTAGAGTTGGTCTTTGGGGTTTCAGGAGGTCGGCCTGCTGCTTACTTTTCTCGCGGGGTGGTAAAGCTGCTACAGTTGCGTGACGATAGGCTCGGCCTGAGTCCAGCGTTTGGGGAGTTTAGTGTGTCGGTTTCGCAGCCCCAACTTCCTCACCCTTCGACGGCGATGCTTCCATGCGAAGGTCCAGCCGGAGGTGTATCGTAAGCAATCCAGCCAAGACCCTGCATCGAAACCCCAGACCCCGCCTGAACCATGTAGGTTATTTGGGGTTAGGGTAAGCCCTCAACCCCGGAAGAACGTCCCCCTGCTCCGTGCCAAGGTGCAAGCCAAGTTATCTTGCAGGCCTTAGGCTCCGTGGTTTAGAGAATTTAGTATACGATGATAAGGTTACTGTAAGGCATCATAAGGGTTACGAGAAGGGTCGCCATGGCTATTATAAGAGCGCTAGAAGGGTCACCACAAGGGTTGCTATATCGAGGCCATGATACGGTTGCTATGGGTGTGGTCTCGTGGCACTGGAAGTGATCGTGATTTGACTCTAAGGAACCCGGAGATAAGTAATTTTCAGGAGTACCTGCCGGAAGCACTGCAGGATCTGGTTACCGAAGGCAATCTTTTGGGGGGGTAGGTTACAGCATCGTCACATTCAGGAATCCCGCAGGTTGCAGAAATATATTGACAAATATGCAGGCCCTCTTTTAAACACTATACAATCTCAAGTCTGCAGTCACGCAGCCCATTTGAAGCGCGGCATCACACTGGCGGAGCTGCCATCGAGCCTCGTTCATTGCATTGAGGCTCTGGCTGTCTGGCTGGTCTACGTAGGTTTGGGGGTTCAAGGGTTTAGGCTCCGGCTGGGTAGATTCTGCTTTGACAAGCCCAAACCTGTTGATCTGGCGTTGCCTCGTACCCTAAACTAAACCCTGAACCCTGAGCTCCAAACCCCTGAACCCTGGACTCTGGGCTCTGAAAACCCTGAATCCTGAGCTCTAAACCCCTACATAAACCCTGAACCTCTCTGTGTCAGATGTGTACCGGAAGATTGGATCTATCCTTGTGAGCTCCAGGGGTCGACGCTGTGGAGTCTGTATGCCACGTGCTACAGACTGAGGCTTCCTGTGTTGGCATATTATACTGGTATACATCGGGACATGATAAGCTCATATAGTAGTATACTGAAACTCGATAAGTATGTGATGGTAAGTTGAAAGAGTACCTTAAAATAGTATACAATACTATGAAGTATTACCGTGGTTGCGTGTCACGTGTGCTAGCAGCGCCAGGGCCCGATTGCCAGTGAGGCTACATGGGAGTTTCCGAAAATTAGGGATACCTTATTTGGGGGTCCTGATGATAAGGATCCTACTATTTAGGGTACCATATTAGGGTCCCCTATTTTCGGAAACTCCCACCTGTAGCATGTATTCCGGAACAAGCCTCGAGCCTAAGTATGGACGGCGCAGGCTTAGGGTTTAGGGCTGGACTTGCAGATTTATGCAAAGATTACACAACTGCTTCGATGCTATCAGCATCATGCTCGAACTGCCATGTCGGGGCTTGCAATTTTGCGGCGGATTCGACTCGAACTACCTCCGTCCCAGAATGCAGGACACAAGCTGGTCCCTCAAAGCCTTAAACCCTATCCTGCTCAAACTAAGTTAGCAGCTCTGCGCTCCAAGTTTTCAATGAAGTACAAACCTCCTCGGACTCCAAGCTTGCACATGTCCTCTGTCCCTCCCCGCCCTTGTGCCTCGCCCTGTGGGGTCATAACTCGGAGAGCTCCCTGATTGTCTCCGCAAGCTAGGAGGGAACCTCCTGGGGAGGAGCACTTTTTTAGATCTTTCTCAGGTGAGGATGGGAGAGCACTCGATGCTGCGAAAGGAATCTTGGCAAGGGGTCGGCGAAACGAAGTTCAGATTGAGCATGGGTTGTGATAACAACTCAAGACATTCATCCCTCCACACGTGACTTCTGTTTATCCGGCGACCCGAAACGAGAAAGCGACTCGACAAGCTGCAGTCTCTGGAAGACCTTGAGAGAAGTTTGAGGGCTCAGGTACCTAATTTCATGAAGCACTTACGCAACTAGACCCAAGAGTAACCTAGGAATAAAAAGGGTGCCCTTTTTGGCTAAAAGGAATAAGGGCCTACTCCAGGTCCTAGGCAATGTTAGAGGTCTGTAAGCTTTAAACTCTGACACGGCCTCCTAGTGCCAATAAGATACGGAATTCAACAGCAGCTTGTGGATCGCAGGCTCTAAGCTTTGCCCGCAGGGCGAGGCCCAAATCCGAATGGACTCGCTGCTATAGGGGCCCTTTCTTTCTTTCGGGCAGGCTGAAGGTCCAAGGGACGTGCCTAGTATAGGGGCCCTTAATAACTAGACAAGGGTTTGAGGGCCCATTATACCAGCTTTTTTGGGCCCCCATATTACTTTTCCAGCAATAACGGTTTGACCACTTTGCGATGCCTCGACCTCTCTCCATGACCCAACTCCGCAACTCCGAGCCCCAACCCTCAACCCTAATTAAGCCCTTAACCGCCTTAACCCCTAACCCAAACCCTAAAGCCCCAAACCCGACACCTTGAAGCCCCAAACCCTAAACCCTAAAGCCCTAAACCCTAAAGCTCCACACCGTAACACACCCCAACCCTTAAGCCCCCTCACCTTAACACACCAGAAACCCCTAAAGCCCCACACCGTAAACCCTTTATAAAGCCCCAAACCCTAAGAGCAGAGAAAGGCGCCGGAGTGCCAATCCACGAGCTCCACAGGGTTGCCCACTCGCAAAAAGTTCTCCTCTGCGCGAGACTCCTTGGACAGTGTAGGGGTTTAGGGGTTTAGGAGTTTAGGGTTTAGGGTTTAGGGTTTAGGGGTTTAGGGTTTAGGAGTTTAGGGTTTAGGGTTTAGGGGTGTGTCTGGCGAGGTCGCGCGCTCGGGTGTGAAACACCCCGGGCCGCGCGCTCGCGTTGCTTGTAAACCCACCCCGGCCACCCAAACTATACTCTATTAGGGTTTAGGGTTTCTACCCCCCAACCCCCCTATCAAGGGGGGCTTTTATATTTTTGCACCCATGAACGTTCCAGTTGTTGAAGTTGTGGTTTAGGCAACGGCTGGGAGTAGCCTCAGCCCTTTTCGGGCCTTCGGCATGGCAGGGCCGGCTCGGCCCTTCAAGCTTATCGTTTGACAGCCTTGGAAAATCTAGATTTTAGAGCTGGTTGTCCTTTTCCGAAAAGGACAAGCGCGACTAAATATTGAAAACCGGAAGCTTAAGAGCAGCCACACGAAAAGAAAGGAGGTGACCTCGAGATTCGCAGCCGGCCTTGTCTAAAAGGCACATTTTATGAACAGAATTTGTCACTTGAAAATCACCAGCAAAAATCAAATTTTCCGGAGGCCCTCTGTTGAGGAATCCGGCATGTCCGGAGGGTCAGGGGTGTCCGGGGGTGTTTGCCGGTGTCCGGGGGGGTCCGGCCCCCCAAAATAGAATGGAGGGGACTTCGAGATTGGCAACCGGCCTTGTCTAAAAGGCACATTTTATGAACAGAATTTGTCACTTGAAACCACCAGCAATAGTCCTTTCCGGAGGCCCTCTGTTGTGTGAGGAGTCCGGCATGTCCGCAGGGTCAGGGGTGTCCGGGGGGTGTCTGCCGGTGTCCGGGGGGGTCCGGCCCCCCAAATCCCAAATCCTAAATCCTAAATCCTAAACCTTGAATTTTAAATCCTAAATCCTAAACCCTAAATCCTAAATCCTAAATCCTAAATCCTAAACCCTAAATCCTAAATCCTAAACACTAAATCCTAAATCTAGATCTTAGAGCTGGTTGTCCTTTTCCAAAAAGGACAAGCGCGACTAAATATTGAAAGCCGGAAGCTTAAGAGCAGCCACTCGAAAAGAAAGGAGGGGACCTCGAGATTCGCAACCGGCCTTGTCTAAAAGGCACATTTTATGACCAGAATTTGTCACTTGAAAATCACCAGCAAAATCCAAATTTCCGGAGGCTAAATCCTAAATCCTAAATCCTGACTCCTAAACCCTAAATCCTAAATCCTAAGCCCTAAATCCTAGAATCTTAAACCCTAAATCCTAAACCCTAAATCCTAGAATCCTAAACCTTAAATCCTAAACCCTAAACCCTAGAATCCTAAACCCTAAATCCTAAAATCCTAAACCCTAAACCCTAGAATCCTAAACCCTAAATCCTAAACCCTAAATCCTAGAATCCTAAACCCTAAAACTCAAAAACCTTAAACCCTACATCCTAGAATCCTAAATCCTAAACCCTAAATCCTAGAATCCTAGAATCCTAAGTCCTAAACCCTAAACCCTAAATCCTAGAATCCTAAACCCTAAATCCTAAAATCCTAGAATCCTAAACCCTAAATCCTGAATCCTAAGCGCCCTCCAGAGTCAATGGTGCACGATTTGGGGTTACTCTTTAGCTACGCTAAAGGTGGTCTGGATACGGCCAGCCCTTAATTGAGTTCGGACGTTGTCGTAAGCAAGGCCACATTCGTTGGCCTGTCCAGGACAGGCGGCGAGGCTTAACCCTCGCCTTTCCGTCTCTCTTTCCGTATGGGCGCTCGGGCTGTGAGGCCCTCGGCCAAGCGTTCGGGGTCTGTCGCTCGACGTCTGCGACCCCTCTCTTAGTTTAGGGTTTAGGGTTTAGGGTTTAGGGGTTTAGGGTTTAGGGTTTAGGGTTTAGGATAGAGTTTGGGGCTTGTGGGTGTAGGGCTCAGGCGTCGAAGTTAATGGTTGGGTATTTGGTGTCAGGCTTCAAAGTCTTAAACTTAACCTTAGTCCCTAAACCCTAAAAGCCTACACCCTACATCTTAAACTGCTAAGCCCTAAAGCCCGTAGAAGTCACTAGCCAAGGGATCATTGCAATACAGAGACGTCTCACCCGTACTACATTGGCAGGCTGCAATATCATAGAGGGCATTAAGAAGTAGAAGAGGCTTACTTTCAAGAGTTTTGTATATTGAGTTCAATTGGCAGCTAGATAGCATAGGTGTAAGCTTCGCAATCTCGGCCCTCCCAGGCAGCAATGAACAAGCAGGAATCATGTCTTGTGGGTAGTATTATCAGGGAGACCCCTTAAAGGGTACCCCTTCTGAACCCTACTTGTGGCTCTCTTAAAAGGGACCTTATTGAGAGGGTCTATGTCCCCGAGGGTCCCCCTAATCCTAACCCCCATCTTGGTCATGCAGGACCCGAAACCTTAGCTTCGGCACCCGGCATCCAACTTGGACTCCTGAACGTGACGCTTCTGAGCCCACAAGCTTAACCTTTCTGTCAGATGCACAAGGTCATCTTCCAGTTATCTTAGTTTTTTGGGGCGGTTGTGGTTACTAGTTGAAGGTGCTCGCATTTGCGGGTGGAGCGAACCTCACGGAGTCGGACATCGGAGGATTAAGGCATCGGTGTGCAAGGACAGACCGTGCAAAAATGCTCTCCCAGCTGCAACACCAAAGATCGCGATACCATCCTCGGCACAGAACGTGCTGGGAGCGTTGGAGAGTCCCTAACCCCAAAATCTGAAAGACTCTGATGACACCTTTGGATTTTCCATGCGCGATCCTGGCAAATGAAGCGCACCGGTGCAGTGCGACGATCTCTGCCCTCCCTAACACTGTGGGTGCCTTAATATTGGAAAAGGGCTCGTATCATTGCAAAAACAAGTACAAAAAGGAACCTAGTTGAATGCTCGCTTCTAGTAACCACCCGCGAAAGTTAGTTGTCCGGTGCTGTTGCAGAGCCAATGCCCCTCTTCTTCTTGCTCAGGAAAGTATGGCCTATCGAAAGCTCCAAACACTGCCTTCTGCTTCTTTGGTTTGTGTTGCCCTTGATTTACCACCAGGCAAGAAGAGGTAGGCACGAAGAACAAGTAACGACGACAAAGTCGCCGGATCTCTCCATAACTCAGAGCTTGATCCCGAGCATAATCGAAAACCGCCGAAAGAAACGAATTACAAATTTTACAATCGCATCCCGAAGCCCCAGAATCAAGACGAATGCTGCTTCTATGCGCCTGTCACTGAACAGATAGCCTGCTGTAGTTCCGCTGCAGGCCCGCAGGCGTTTCCGAGCCCTATGAGGTTACCAATGCTTTTAAATCTTCGTCTTTTGTTACACTTCTCGCTCCTCATTCTTGGAATCAGACAACAACATCTTCCAACACGGAGAGACAGGCAGCAAACGGAGCATGGCAGGTGGTACTGGTGCTGCCTAGAGGAACCACTTGTTCGATCCTTTTCAACAAGCTCTTCGACCCAAAAAACACACAACAAAAAGCTGACGAAAAACGCTGGCACATGAAGCAGTGAGATGTTGATCTTGAGCACTGCAACCTCAAACCCCGTGGAACTTCTTGATACCGAAGCCCCAACTACTAAACACTAAACCCTCCAAGGGAAAACCAAACCCCAAGTCCAAACCGGCAAAACCGAATCCGCCAAGACAAGACGCATCCTGGCCGACTGCAATTTGAGATCCACTTGGATGCCAAGCGAGGCTATATGTCTCCTCGAGTCTTCTTCCCTACTCCTCCCAGTGCTTGTGTGGTTGCATGCCGTCGTGCATGATGTACATACAAACACAGCAGCACACGTACATGTAGGTGGAACAACGCATAATCGCACACAAGAAGTACATGCATGTCAATGATGATAACGGTATCATCGCATGATGACGATGAAGGAGACCAGCGCGCGGGTGATGACGGTGATGCTGCTGGTATAATGGTCAGGGTCTTCCCTAATACGATGCGATGGCAAATTCTTCTCATCGCGTCCGGCATGGCTCTTGGGCTGAAAACATCACAGTGCCAACCTGGACTAGATGCCTTCATACCTGAGTCCTCCATCTTGGTTAGGCCTTGAGGTCTCTTGTGTGGGCTCCGCGAGTTGACCAAACTCTTTACATCTGCATTTGTTGCATGGGATGATACTGTTTGTATGTACGTAACAGAAACAGAAAAGCAAATCATTGATGCTGTGCCAAATGTAAACCGAGTCTGCAGCACTTCGAGGCTGTGGGTTCGGGCTCGTTATCTGCGATGGGCCTGCAAGTGTGGATGACCATCGTGCCTGTTTGCAAGAAGGCTCGTACTCCTACAGCGCAGTGTCTTGTATGATGTCCAAACATGCTGCTACAACTGAAAAAAAGGTTTCTACCTGCCGTTGAAAGCCAGCGCCCCCCCCCCCCCCCACCCCTGCCCGTGCAAAGCAATTGCTCACTGGGTTCACCACCGAGCGCTGCACCAATCGGAAGTCGCTGGCCGGGTTCAAAACCTGATATGTATGTATGATTGTTTGTTAACTGCTTGTATGTGTACATACCTATGTACAGTATTCGCGTAAACATACACCTATTAGATATACGCATTTACAATATATATATATATATATATATATATATATATACACACACATAACATCCGCAGAAACGGACGCATATTTAGCATGCATAAAGACAACTCTCTCTCTCCCTCTCTGTGTGTGTATATATATATGCATATGTATGAAGATAGATAGATAAAGATATAGGTATACCGGGAATGTGGACCCGGCATGCTGGGTCTTGGATGCCAAGCCTCGAAATGGGTCCTCTTTTTTCGGACACCATCCTCCTTGCACGTACCTTCCTAGAACCTTCTTCCAAGACCTGACGATGCCAGCATCCAAGCTGTCTCCTTTAAACTGCTGAATTCCAATGCATCAGCATCAGTGAACGACAATCCCCGCCTTCAGGCACCCTAAACCTATTCTGTTCTGCATGCATCCCTTGGTCCGTGTGTTCGTTCCTGTGTCTCTGCCGGTCTGCATCGGGAGATAGAGTTTTAGAGGCAGAGAGAGAGAGAGAGAGAGAGAGAGAGAGAGAGAGACAGAGAAAGAGAGAAAGAGAGAGAGAGAGAGAGTGCCTGCGTGTGTTGGTCTAAGCTCAGTTCTCCTTTCTGCACTGCTACCCGCTGGTACCACAGGAACGCGTAAGGCAAACACTGATACTGGTAACAGGATAACACCTGGTGGCCCCTGTTCCTCCTTCGGTCCGAAATGTAAGCCGTCGAGTCCCAGCCTTAGGGACACTCTCTGCTGCATCCAAGGGACACAAACATCCACGTGCATCACCCCAGACACAAGAGCGACTTTGCTCCCATCCGGGCACCACTTGATGGAATTTTTCCCACCCCTGCAAGGCCGCGCGAAGACTTCTTTTCCTTGCGACAGACGTCGTGAGCTTCAGATTTGAGGCAAACTGCTGCTTTTGCTGAAGAAGTACATATATTGTCCAGATGCGAGGATGCAAAACAGAAACAGTGGTCTATCTCCAAGAGTGGGCAGTGCTTTAGCGGTATGGTGGCACAACAACAGGTTGAGGGTCGTAACAGGGACTTATAATCATGCGCACGAGTACACCTGCCTACAGATTTTTCATCTGTGTACTCATGTGATTCATGTGTTGGTCATAAGGCAAAAACCAAAACATGGTAGCAGGCATTCCAGTGATGAGAACAGGTTGCAAAAGGAATGAGCGAAGGGACGCGCCAACATAGACTGATGCATGGTGGATTAAGGCAATCGGCAACTAAACAATGTCGGGCTAACTGCAGCCATCATCGCCGCTGCTGTCACAGCAGGTACCAACTAGGGATGCCACATCGCAGGAGAATGAACTAAGTTTAAACTTGAACCGCAACACGAAATCAAGCATAGTGATGATGCTGCCCCGAGATGGAAGAGTCCAGTGAGTCTAGTGCCAATACAGCAGTTCAAACATTAGTGCCATCTGTAATCAAAGTGCGATACTATATCGGAAACGAATACGGCCGCAGCATGATCTGCGCATCAAATTGCCTTCCGCAAAACTGGAAAGTAGAACAAACGACGAGTAGGGGAAACCACAAAACTCTGCCCTCAGTTATGGCGGCAGCAGCTGCGCTTGTGCATGCTCTTTGGCTGCGGCGAATGTACGCACATAAACGAATGCTACTGACTTGAGAACCTTCAGTGTAGGTTGGGCGGGGAGGCCACCTTGCTTCGGCTTTCGTTTTGGCTGTGGCCTTGCCTCAGCAACAGTTGCTCGCCGCTGTGGGTTGTTGACGATGCATGTATCGGAACACAAGAAACTGATCGATGAATCGGATCCCGGGCTGTCCAATACTATCAGGTGATTACTTATGTTGCAGAGTCAACAAGATTGCATCGACCTCTCACGTAGTTGGACGGCTTGCAAAGAAATTATCCCACGCCGCATGAGCTGTGCCTCTAAGCACCACAGTATATGTTGAGATCGGATACTGTGACAGACCGTTCACATCCGGAAAGCGTGCGGCCTGCGGCTAAGGATCCCATTGAGAAGTCGTGGATCCATGCCATGTTCTGACTTCGCAGTGCCAGGTGTGCTGCATCCGTCGGGCTCCACTGGAGATGATAGGGGCTCCTGGCATCCGGCTGCGGCGTAAGGGTCAAGCTTTAGGGATGCCACCACTACCCAAAGTACGTACACAGTGTTGAGATCAGCAAACGTCTGATCGTTGGGTCCATGTCTCTTCCTTTCAGAAGCAGAGCTGTAAAGCAAAATGCAAGAATCGTCACCAGCACAAGTCTCATCTGCGCCCCTGGCGAACAAGATGCTAACAGGACATGTCGTCAGCAAAACTATCAAATAGCATCGGAACAAATCCAACGAAAAGGATAAAGGGCGAGTCCCAATGGGAATCAAAGACCAATAAGAAGGACCACCGATGACTACGTGGGACTAAGCTGAATCCCCGATTTACATGGGACACAAGGCTGCGCATGTGCAATCTGCGCGCTATACAAAGTTCTTAGCTTGGGTGTAGCTCCGTTTGCGCCCCGTAAGGTAGATCTTATAGTATACTATAGTAACTTATACTACAGTATCGGATTATAGATCGTAATCTTGACCAGCTTAGACATCGACACGTCGGCCAACTCCACTCCTCCGTCCAAAATGGTGAAGCTTCGTCAGACAGAGTTGCAATGATTTTGGTTTAACGGTTTAGGGTCTAGGGGTTTAGGGTTTCCGGCAGACTGTCATGACATGACTTTGGTAAACTGAGGTTTTGGAAACTTAGCCTTTGCTTTGTCATAGGGATTGGGCAGCCCTCAAGCTTAAACCCTAAAGCCGTAAACCCTATACCCAAAACCCTAAACCCTAAAAGTTAGACCCAGTGCACTAAAATTAAAGCCCTAAACTCTCTGTACTCCTGCGGGTCGACTTGGAGTAGTCCAACTCAGTCTGGATTTTCAGCGTACTACCGCTGGCTACCACGATTCCTCGCTGCGAATGATTGGGGTTCAATGTAGACCCTACCAACCCTAAAGTTTCGGGTTGGTAGGGTCTACAGGGTTTCGGGTTTGGGGCTTACAGGGTTAGGGTTTGTGGTGGGTTGCGGGCTTGGGCTTTGAGGCAGGACTCTCGGCCTGCCACAACCTGCTAGGCTCAGGGCATGTTCTCACGTGTTTAGTTGGGTTTCTGGGAATCGAGGCTGGAAGAGCCCAAGCTCTTAGGAGAGAAGAGTAGACAGGTCGAGGGTTCGGATGCAAGGGGCTATCTACTAGTGTTATCATTATTAGTATTATGATTGCTATCATTGTTATTATGTGTTATTCTCCTTATTAATCGCTTCCCCTTAACATTAACCCCCCCCCCCCCGCCTAATATAAAAACTACCGGCCCCCGGAATTTCGCGGTTTCGGGCCCCACATTAAATTAAAAGGGACAACATTAGGGGGGGCCTAGATCTGTATGTGTTTTAATTCAAGGAAGATTACAGTAGAACCACACCAGCAGGACCAGGGCTTCGGGGTTTAGGGCTCAGGGCTAAAGCTTTAGGGCTTGGGGCTTTTGGGCTTAAAGTTTAGGGCTTAGGGCTTTAGGGTTTTGGGCTCGAGGTTTAAGGCTTAGGGTTTTAAGTCTTGTGAGTCTTGTGCTCACGAACTAATTCCTGTCAACCCCACTCATACGTGGATGCACCGAACCGAAACCCCCCTAATATAAAAACTAAACCTCCGAAATCCAGTTTTAATAGTAGGGAGGGGGGGAGGGGCCCTTTAATATTAGGGGGAAGGGATTATTGTTCCTACTCTCGATTTTTGATTGTTGTTTATTAAGGGATTCCGAGAGGACCTCGGACAACTACCGCCTACTTTGTGGGTCAGAAACCGACCACATCCCTGAACACCTCAAGTTTGAAGCCAGCTGCGACCGTGGCAAACAGTGGCATGCAAACGAAGGTATGTAAGCCTGTCATCCATAATGCTCTAAACCCGAAACCCGAAGCCCTTAGCCCTAAGCAGTACAAAATCACCAAGACTCCTGCGAGTTGAAACGGTGAAGCTTCCGAAGAACACCGGAATCCCTAAAGCCAAAGTACGTTAATGACCTTATAGCATCATATTGTATACTTAGCTATAGCGAAAGAAAGGAACAACAATGGAGACTATATGCAAAGGCCAGGGAACGGTTGTCCACCACTGCAGCAATAGATCCGGGCGATAAGGCCACCAGATCCTCTCAGTTTCTGGCATACCCTTCGAGGCTTTAGGCCTCAGGGGTTAGGGATTTGGGGTTGATCATGCTTCTCTGAAGCATAAGCGAACTATGCTGAAACCACAAAGCTGCTTCCAGGAATTGCGCGAAGCGCAGTTCCTTGTCGGAGTCATCCGGGACCCTTTCCGTCACAAAGTCTAGGAAATTAAGATACAGCCCGAAACCAAAACCCTTGGTGCATAATTAAGACCACCCTGAGACCGTGAGCGCGCCGGCAGTCCAGCGATGAGCCATGGAGACTGGCAACTGTGGCACTGTCAGGGATGGTGTCGCCCTGGAAGTGGAAACGGCTGAGGATGTCGGGGTTCAGGGGTCAGGAAGATCTGTGGGTGGATAGCCCAGAACTCGCGAGGAAATCTGCACCGTTTAAAAGTCATGGACAACTTCGAAACCACCGTAGCCGTCAGTATATCGGTATTAAGTTTGTAAACAAATCGAACCCTGACACTGGAAGTCAAATCAAGTCGGCAGGCATCTTGGATGAACACGACCTCTTCCCCGGACAAGCCTCAGTGCAACATGACTGCATGGTTGAAGTCGTGGGAGAGGGATGGGTTCGGTCGCAAAGACAGGAGAAGATGTGCCTCCTTCACCCGTCTTGCTTCAAAAGCTCTCTACCTATAGTCTCCATTCTAATTCCTTTTGGGGTTACCTTACAGGATCCTAATTATATATTTAGTTGCAACAATGGAGCCTATAGGTAGACTCACAAGCGCTTTGCACGGAACTTCGGAGAGATCAGAAACATCCTACACCTCGAGCAGGACTGTCCTCTGCGCCCCATAAGGCCTGCATGTACCCACTTCATTAGCATTTGCCCATGAACCCAAAAGTTGAAGAGGCGTTTGTAGTTGTCATTGTAGATTTCAAGAACCCCGAAAGCTGCAAGATAGAGAACGGTTTCTTCAGCTCTGGCAATAGCATCAGCAAAAGCAATAGTAATAACAATAATCGCAGAAACAGTAGCAATTAACGCAATGGTGATAACAGGAATACAGAAGCACTTACAATACAATGACAACAAAATGTATAGTAATCGTAGTCGTCGTGGTGGGGGTAGAAGAAGTAACCGCAGCAGTACTAGTAGTAGTAGTAGTAGTAGTAGTAGTAGTAGTAGTAGTAGTAGTAGTAGTAGTAGTAGTAGTAGTAGTAGTAGTAGTAGTAGTAGTAGTAGTAGTGGAGGTAGTATTAGTAGTAGTAGTGGTGGTAGTAGCAGTACTAGTACTGGTAGGAGTAGTAGTGGTAGTAGTAGTAGTAGTCGTCGTCGTCGTCGTAGTAGTCGTAGTAGTAGTAGTAGTAGTGGAGGTAGTAGTAGTAGTGGTGGTAGCAGCAGTACTAGTACTAGTACTAGTACTAGTACTAGTAGTAGTAGTAGTAGTAGTAGTAGTAGTAGTAGTAGTAGCAGTAGTAGTAGCAGTAGTAGTAGTAGTAGTAGTAGTTGTAGTAGTAGTAATAATAGTAGTAGTAGTAGTAGTAGTAATAGTAGTAGTAGTAGTAGTAGTAGTAGTAGTAGTAGTAGTAGTAGTAGTAGTAGTGGCAGTGGTAGTAGTATTAGTAGTAGTAGTAGTAGTCGTCGTCGTAGTAGTCGTAGAAGTCGTCGTAGTAGTAGCCTTAGGAGTCGTAGTAGTAGTAGTAGTAGTAGTAGTAGTAGTCGTCGTCGTAGTAGTAGTAGTAGAAGCAGCAACGACAACAATGCTTGGTTCCAGTCTTTTTGTGACTACTTTTTGGTGGTTCAGCCGTTCAGGATTTTTGGGCTTATTGATCGCCTGTGCTCGTGAAGACATCCTCCCGAGGGCTGACACTGATTAGTTTGGCGCAAAACTCACAATTTGATTACTCCTGGCCGACTTAGGGCAGACTTAAAGAGAAGAAGGCAACACCGAGCTGCCGGTGAATAATGGTTGAATAGTAAAAGCTTCCTGGGAAACCCAGTTTTCCCGCACGTGCCCTTCTGGTCAAAACTGCTGTGCGATATCAACATGCAGACAGAAGCCGACAAAGACCGACAACAGAAAACCCTAAACCCCCTCCCCGTCCCCCCCCCCCCCAAGAAAGTAATCCAAGCAACCAAGTCGTTCAGCCGCCACCTGTTTCAGCTGGCCGACCTACAGGTCGTGCGCACCCACTCTGCGTCCAAGGCTTTAGGCTGGGGACTGGTCGACATCAAGAATTAGAATAGGGCTTCGGGGGTATCTAGCTAGAGTGTCATATAGGGACTATATGTGCTGCTAGTTGATTTGCTTCAGGGATGGCGGATGGCCTCTAGGTGGAATTGTGGGCACAGAACAGTTCAGTTGCGACATGCAAGACCGAGCATTCAACTGCTTGAGTCAGAGACACTCATGCTGCTTGTAACATTGGAAGCATGTGAGCTAATCTTCCTTTGCGCAGAGCAGGCACCTGCTCTGTGCTGGGCCGAGACAAGACGAGCGACTTGCCTGGCAGCCGGCTGCTTTCTCACTCAAAGCTGGAAACATTGCGCAGCTTAAAGCCAAAGCGCTCAAGTATAGACTAGGATCCTACACTAGGCTATGACCCTCAAGGATGGACGTCGCCGCTATCAGTGTGTAACAAGTGATGTCGCATCGATTGGAGCGGCTTGAAGTACAACCAGCAGCCACCACGCCAAATCGTAGTCGTAACTGCTTAGAGCAGGAAGGACTATTCTTCGTGGCGCTCGTCATCGGTATCCGAAGAGAAAACAAAGGTGCACATGACCTGGCCCCCCGATGAGGGGGAAGAAGCCTAAGCACTCTCAGGGGCTCCACAGACCTTGTCAGGGCTATAGAGCCCTCAAGAACAAGCCTACCCTGTAAACACCAGCCCCACAAGCTGCTTACTGCACCTATCCAACCCCAAACATTGAAACCGATAATAATCCCTCCTATAAGCCTAATGTCGTTACTCATGCCTGAACGAGTCCCTTTGATGCACGGGGTCACGAAACGATTGCTTTTCGTCATAAAAGATGCATGCGATGAACACCTATTTAAGTCCAGCTTCGGCTTTCATCTTGATTGAGATTGTGTTGTTATACCCTGTTGCATTCCTCTTTGGCCACCAGGTGCTCTTGCGAACTCCTTATTTAATGCACGTTTCATTCCCGGGAAGGGCTATACGGAACCCTTGAATCCCTCAACTCACCGCGCCTGAGACCAGTGACACGGAAATTTCGATGTCAACCGGCTCCCCTGCAGATGGCTGGCCATAGAGGGTTCACAGGGGATGGTCTGGGCGGGCATCCTTTACTCATGGGTTCGAGCTGCAGGATGCAGCTGGGGAACATCAGACGATAATAATTATTTGGATGCTCGTGAGGGGACAAGTAATATCAAGTAGTACAATGTAAAGGAACTCAGACTTCAAAGCATGTTCTGCCTAAGCACATGCCTGTCTTGGCTTCAAGAACCTCTGTCCGTCAGAGATGAAGGGTATGTAAGCTTGCATGCATTCATGCATGTATGAACAGTGCTTCCCCCCTCAGTGATCCACGCTTTCGGCGTCGGGTCGGGAGAAAGACAACAGAGACTTGAACAGTTGCAAGACTCTACTGCGGCCCGCAGAGATTCGCACTTGCCTACTTTTTTGCTCAGGCGCTCGCCGTTCTTTCAAAGCGGTCTCTGCGCCTGCAAAAACGTCCGCACTATAAGACTACATGTAGCCTGCATCTTGCAGGCCCTCCTCGGTCTCGCCCAGGACGTAGAAGACGAAGTACCAATGACGCAGAGCCACCTGGATACTCGTGGTGCTCCGGAGGACTGCCTGCTTCGGCTGCAAGCGCCGGAGCTCCATCTCCAGCTTCGTCTCCTTCTTCAGGGCATCGCCCCCGCTGAGGTAGCCTTTTGGGCCCGCCTCGGCCACCTTCGTCAGGTAGTCCAGGTACTTGGACTTCGGCTCCTTCTTGGGCTTCTTCTCGCCCCGGAGTTCTCGGAAGAGCTTCTCCAGCCATCCCTCCTCTTCCTCTTCCTCCTCCTCCGTCTCTGCCAGAACGTCCTTGATGGGCTGGATCTTCTTCTCGTACCACTTGTCGATCCGGGCCTTGATGCCCTGCGCATCCGAGGCGTCGGCCTTGGCCGCGTCCTCAAGGAGCAACGAAAGCTCGCGGAAGCTGCCGCCAGCGCGAAGGTAGAAGTACTTGAGGATCTCCTCCCGGCTGCGCTCGTCCATCTTGAGATATCCGGCAATCTCCGGAATCTCCAGCTCCACGAAGCCTCGGCACGGGCTTATTGCACGACTTGGCAGCGAGGTCCTGCATTCGCCCGCACGGCAACTCCAAGCGACAGAGAAAAACAAAAAGCACACAACAAAGCCAGGGTGCTCTTCAAAGGCAGCGGGTCCACCACCACCAGCCGGGACATGTTGAATTTCTCCTCTAGGGTCTCTACTACGTGGCGCTCCCGACTCCCATCTAGCCGCTGCTACAGCACCTAGGCAACACCCTGCACGCCCGATTTTGACCCAGCCGCTCCTGGATCTTGTCGGCAATGAGGGACACGGACACTTCCAGCACGAACTTGCACAAAGCATACTCGTAGGTGAGCGTCCGCGCGAAGCTGCCGACGGCAGCGGCGATCGCATCGCACTGGTTCTGGTCGAAGTCGTCGGCACGGTTCTGCGTTGACAATTGCATATAGATTGTCAGTGGGTGCCCAGTCTTCTTCAGGCACCTGCTGTTCAGCTGTTTCATCAACTGCACAAATGGTAAGCGCAGCTGAGGGAAGATCTCCGGAACCCTGTCGGCCAGCAGCACCTCTTCAACGATAGCCGCAAGCTCAAGCTTGTCGCCCGGCTGCAAAGTCCGAAGTATGGGCAGCACCCATTTCCCCTGTTGGCGCCGGTGTGCAAGCAAGCCTTTCAGCATCGCAGACTTTCCGATGCCCTGCGGCCCGCTGATCACTATGAACGCAGGGACTTGCATAGCACGGGGGCCAGGCATGTCAAGGAAGGCCCTAACGTCTTGCTGCTGGGGCCGGACGGGAATACGCATGCCCGACACTTCGTCGGTCATGCCTTGCGCGGCATCTTCTACTGCCTGCGTGAGCGTCCTAAGTGGAAAAAGATTGGCTGGTATTCTTCTCAGAACAAACTCACGAAGCCCTAGTAGGCCGATGCCCGAAGTCACCAGCTTCACGATGGTGTCCGAAATCCCCCACCTCCCCCGTGGCTCTGCTTGCATTGTTACTTGCGATCGACCCGCTTGGCCTCTCGCAGTCAGGCCACATGGCGGCGCGGCGGGCCAGCTGGGGCCCGGGCAGGCTACAAACATCTTCGCCAAAGGAAGCTGCGGCATAAACAAACAGCGCTGCAAACTCTCGTGACTCCCTCTATCTGTTAGAACTACGCAAACGGAACCGGCACAAGTGTCTCTTATCCGACCACATCAGCCTGTGCCCATAAACCACAGAATACTTCACCCGATTGAGTGGGCCCCCATCACCGCATCAGTCATTCGTCCAACTCTGTATCAAGTGATGAGGCCTGTAGAACAAAATTATGCGAGCGCAGACCTCCAAACAGTGCGACAACCAGGACGACCACCAGGACCAGCACGACGACCAATACTATACGACTACAACGAAACGGGACCATGAAGCCAGAGGCAAGACGGAAGGCGCCACCGCCAATATTTTCAATGCTTTGGGCGGCTGTCCTCAACATGTTGTGTACTTGCAGGAGGTCAAGCATCAAACCTGGTGAGTAAAAATCACTCGGACTAATACGAAGTAGTAATCTAAGCCTGACAACACGAATAGTAACCAAGGCTGACTATCTGCTTGCTTCATTAATTGGTCGTATTGTTACAGAATACTACGACAAGTTTCAAGACTAGTCCTGTGTGTCCGAATACTATCTTCGTACCCCCCCCAACCCCCGTCCTTCCCTGCTCAAAAACTGGCGGCGGATCAAATGGGGCACATGGTTGAGTGGGCGTCTATGTTTGTTTGGGAACGAGGGGCGGGCCTATTGAAGGAGGTGCCGCATTGCCACCGGAAAACAGAACCACACATAGAAATCGCACACTTCTGCGGCCTTCATCGGGAGCCAGCGTTGCAGCAGACATATCGAATTTCCTGGGCTGGTGCCGGGTGGTGCTTCGAAGATGGCGGAGTCCATTACTGGGCGGCGAGGTTCGCACTGTCGAAAGCGACCAGAAGAGACACGACGCACTTAAATCTGGGCTTAGCCTAACCAAGTCTGAAGCTCCCTGATGGAGCCAGAGCGAAGTTCCACGGCTTCAAAAACTGCGGTAGTCGAAATCCATTTCTCTCCACGGTTATAGGGCCTTGGGTTCAGGCTTTAGGGCCCAAGTCGCGAGCTTTCGATCCCTGCTGACCAACAGCCCAAACTTAGTGACTGTATACAGTATAGCTTAATAAAAACCTTGAAAAATGGACTCCATCAGCCTGTTCCTTTCTACTTATTCAGGCTCCCCCTATGTTGTGGTATAATCGAGCCCCAAAACCCCACTCTAATTATTACAGCCCCAGATGCTCATCATCCAAAGCCATGGCTTCAGAGCTGCGCGAACTAAGTAAGGACTTTCGAGTACAAACTATAAATCACAGGCAGGAGCTCACCTGTAGTGTGCCGAATGACGGCAGTGCTAATGAAGCTGTCGCAACTTCGACATGTTGACTGTTCCTCCTTTGCACAAAAACGATAGTGTCATTCCAGCATGATCGAAGATAGTTCAGCCTGGATCATGTAAAATCAGGCTGCAACAACACTGATCAACATGTGCTGACAAGGTGTCGTCCGAATGCCAGCCAACCCGAGTCCCTAAATCGCACAAAGAGTATGTACAATGGTGGTTGGGCGTCGGCCACATTCGCAGACAGCTGAACCCCGGTCCGGGACGCAAGGCCGCATACCCCAAAGTCTGGCGATGGGAGTCTTGGTCAAGCGCTTCCAATGTCCAATGTGACTAAACATGTGCCGGTACCACAGAATCATCAGCCTCGTCCCGACCCCTAGAGTCTACACCCCACAGATCAAGGCATCTTGATGGTGAAGGGTCTCGGGAGCTTCATGGCTTCACATGAAGATGGGGAGGCTGTTTCAGGGCATGGATTTTAGGGTACCTGCCGGCATTGAAACACCAGGAAAGGCCGTCGCAAAGGTTTCGGCATCTTAGATACCCTCACCCTTCTGGCTGAGACGTATTATGTTCTAGTCGACTTTACTGAACTATCGGCTGCTAGGCTATGCTGTGGGATACATAATAGATCATGATATACCGCTTGCCATCTTCTACTTCTCTTCGGTTAGGAGCCCTAAAGCTGGAGCCGCTTGCCTCATATGCTCAGAGCTACAGGTCCTGACGCACAGCGGCCAACACGACCTCTCTGTCTGCTCGCACCTGGAAGGCCGGGAAAGACATATTGAGAGTTTGGCAACAATAACAACAACAGTGGCGACATGTATGCTGACGGCTATCTGATTGACTCACGGGGACATGTTGATCCCAGGTACAGCTTAACTCCAATTCTTGCAGCACTGGAGTACTACTTGTAAGTATTGGGACATGCTGAGAGCCAAGCTTCTTCATAATTCTCTAAATAATATAGTATCTAATACTATATTCTAGTAGTTACTGTATAAAATGGTTTTGGCTGGAACTTTAAATTCCATCGCCCCTAAGCAACGAACGTGCATGGCATGCATTAGCGCCTGCTGGAATTGATAACCGAACACTCGCGCGCAACATGGCATTCATGCCGATCGACATTCACGGGGCTTCTGTGGTTCGCACAAACGACAAAGACGCACGCACACACACACACACACACACACAAAAACACACACACACACACAACAACACACACACACACACACACACACACACACACACACACACACACACACACACACACACACACACACACACACACACACACACACACACACACACACACACACACACACACACACACACACACACACACACACACACACAACAACACACACACACACACACACACACACACACACACACACACACACACACACACACACACACACACACACACACACACACACACACACAACAACACACAACAACAACACACACACACACAACACACACACACACAACACACACACACACACACACACACACACACACAACAACACACACACACACACACACATACACACACACACACACACACACACCTACCTACGCACACACAGTTCTAAGGCAGTGTGCTGCATGACCTGCAACCGCGCGAGCTATCAATAGTCAAATCCGCATGCACTTCTTCTGGGAGCGTGAACAGAAAGCCGTTCAGCCCAGTGAACCCTGAACACTTTTTGCAGGGTGCATTAGCGTCAGACATATGAATGGCTGACAGTTGAAAGCATCCGACAACTTCAGCATGTGCAGCAGCAGCTCAGGAACTGATGCAAGAAAAGTGAGGACATGCACGGAGCATTTCAACTGTCATTCATGCCGGCCCGAGTCCCCAGAGTCAAACATTTGCAGCAAATCAATTGCACAAGCAGGTGAAGGCGACCCCACAGAAGTCTTTAGGTGCTCTGTGCTCTAGACCAACTAGCGTAACTAGCAGTGAGATCTTTCCGACCCAGTGACCGAAGAAGGACTCGGCAGCGTTGGTCCTGAACCCGCGCGGCAAGCTCCGATAGCGGTGCTCCCAACCCCGAGAACTGCGGCCATTCTCATCCGGCTCTCGCGACAGGTCCACTGCCAGCCTGCACAGAGAAAGCGCTGTTGCCAACAAATGGCACGGCCACAATAGCCACAGTTAGTACATGTTAGTACCAACATCAACAACGATGCCTTTACAAAGACCAGCAGCAGCACCAGCAGACCACCGACATCAACACCGAGAACCACGGCGGCAGCCGGGGCGTGGAAAATAGGCACTTCGCAGCAACCGCAACCACCCACTACCGGTAATATTGACATGAATACGTACGAACCATACCACTGCAGTTGCCAGCAGTAGCACTGCCACCGCCACCGCCACCACCGCCAATAGCAAAAACAACAACAGGACAATTAAGAACAGCAGCGGAAACGTAGGGAGAGAGACATCCGCCAGGAAAGGGTAGCAACATCGGCTCGAGGCGCAAGATCGAAGAATGCACACTCGACCCCAGATCTAAAATCCCGAAGGAAGTAAGTCAGGTTGTGTTGGTTTGTCGCTAATGCCGCTGTTGTTGTCAGTGTTGTCACCCTTCGTGCTTTTTCTCCTTCTTCCCGCTACTATGAGCGAAGTTCCTCTCGTTCTGGTTGTCAACTCGTGTCGTTCAAAAGGGTCGGTGAAGATAGGATGATGCTATGGGTGTTGCTGCTGCTGCTCGTGACGAAGGCTACCTTGGCGTGGTTGTTATTGATGGTGTTCGACATCTGTCTCGATGCTGCCGTTCGTGGGTTGTTGGTGGTGTTGGTGCGGTTGCCTTCGCCAAGGTTACTATCGTCATTGATGCTGAAGCTGTTGCTGCCGCCGCGGCTGCTGCTGCTGCAGCAGCTATTGATCGGTCATGCTGTGACTTTGAGCACCGTTGTCGTTGCGGTCACCAATGCTGCTATTCTTGCTACTGCTGCTGTTGTTGTTGTTGTCGGTGGTGGTAGTGCTGCTGCCGCTGCTAGTGCTGATGCTGGTGCTGATGCTGGTGCTGTTGTTGTGGAGGTCGTTGTTGATGGTGGTGGTGGTGGTGGTGGTGGTGCCGGTGTGGTTGCTGCTGTTGGTGTTGGTGTTTTTGCCGATGCTGGTGGTGTGTTGGTGTTGGTGCTGCTGTTCGCTTCTGGAACTGCTGCTGCAGCTGTTGTGGATGATGCCGTTTCTTGGAATTGGCACTGTTGCCCGCTGTCGTTGCTCTTATTGCTCTCGCTGCCCTCAGTGTCACTGTCTTGCGCTGGGCACCGTGCTCTTGTTGCTCTGGGGAGTGTGATGTTAGAAGTTGAAGGTGTCTGTCAGCTGTTGGCTGCTGCCTGTCTTCTTGCTCGTCGACGTTATTGTTGCTGTTGTTGCCGTCAGTGCTGTCGTCATCGTCGTTGCCGATGCTTTCGTTCGCTGTGTTGCTGCTCTTGGTGTTGCTCTTGTCGTTACCAGTCTGGCCATAAACCCGATGCCCACTGTAGTCACTGTTACTGCAACTGCCGGTTTTGTGGTTGCATTGCTGTTGTCGTTGTTGCCATCATTGCCGCTGCGGCTGCTGCTGCAGCTACTGTAATCACTTTTCAGACATCATAACAATGAAGGGCATTGCCAGCGATGTTGTCGGAATTAACATACGGCCGTCGGGATGGTTGACGGACCCTCTGAATATTTCCAAGGCAAGGCCTGTAGCCAGGGTCGCATGATCTGGTCTGCTCAGCAGGTTATCCTCGAAAGCCTCTGGCAGGAAATCTGTCAAGGGTTGAGAAACTCAGGATTGCTGCTACAGGTTGACGGGCGCCTGGGAGATAGCATGGAGGCTGCATCGAAACCCGACTTTCCAGGGTGGATTCTTTGGCTTGGGGCTGCTTCGGGGATGGTGTTAGCTTTGTCCAGCTTAGGCTGGAGGCGACCAAAAGTGACTGAATCCGAGGAAGCATCTATGGCACTGGTCCGACAGGGCTCTCGTCCTTTCGACTGCGAGGCAATGAAACAAAAGATGACGGGGAACCCAGTCAATGCTGTTTCGATGCAGGTGTGAACTCGCGGCTGGAAATCCTGCCTCAGCCTCGACGTGCCAATTCGCAATGGCAAGTTCCAAGCAATACCTCGATACGCAGGATCGGAATGTCGCAACGTTTCCTTGGTGCATATCGTGCTGCTACTCGGGTCCATCACCACATTGCCGTGATTCTTGGGAATATCCGGAAAATGATGTCATCCGCAGACAATGTTACGCCCATGCTCGCAGCTTCCCTGCGCTCATCTCAGCCTGGCCCTGCCAGGAACTCTTGGTTTTGCGCATGGTCGCGTCCTTCAAGACATCCTCGGCAGGCTTGCCATCTGAGAGCTTGAAGGTCATCCGTCTGCCATTCTTCACAGCAAAAGCACAAGCCGCCAAGCGACGTACATAGCTCGTGCCGTGAAAAGCGAAAGCTGGAGTCACAATGCCTCCACGCCTCAAGGGTTCTATGGCTTCCTCTTCCTCCACGATCACCAGAGCAGCAGTGACAGCAGCCATGGCTGTCACCTCATAGGCTTCCCCGCCCGTGTAGTGAACATGGGCCCACCTCCCATCCTCGGCCTCCCCGAGGGCAAAAACCTCGGAATAAAATTGGGCGCGTGTTTCGGGTGGGGGCCCCTCTCCAGGCTTTGGCATCTGACCTTGAGCCACTTGCATCTTCATGAGGCCCGCGGCAAACTTCGCAGCCTCTACGCTGCGGATTGGCGCCATTGCCTCGGTGGCCTTCTCGCCCGCACGCTTGCTAGTGGCCGCATCGCGGATCATGACACGCAGATCTTCTCCATAACGTGGAGCGGAATCGCCTGCAAACTCTTCAAAGAGCTGGCAGCTGCGCCGAATAACACGGCCCCCAGTGTGTCCGTTGTATGCAGGCTGCAACCACAGGGAGGAGTAGATGGGATCCTGCGCAGTCTCGGAGCAATCATGATCCCCGGGCTGCACACCCCGGGATCGCTGGCCTCCGAGGTTGAAGGGATCATTGTGGACCTTCAGCTTCTCCTCTGTCATCCCCTCCATGAAAGCAGTGTTGCTGGCAAAGGTCCCTCCTGTGATCCCACCGTAACTGAAGAAGTATTCACGAAACTGCTTCAACGGCCCAAGCTTCTGTGCCAAAAGGTAACAGTTGATGTCGTCAATCGCACAGACCTGTGCTGCCGCCTGAACGAGAAGGATGCCTTTCTCCTTCGCCTGCTTGTGATAACGTTCGAGCATGTCGTGCATCCAGACCGTCTCACCAGTAATGTCGACGTAGTGCGTCTGGTTCTTCACGCAGGCTCGAAGCACCATTTCCCCACATTGGGAGTACGGGCCTGCGGCCGCGACAAGGACAATGCATTGGCGGGCAACCTCTTCCAGAGAAGCTTCACTGTCAGCCACGAGCACCTCTGGTACAATTGAGCAAGAAGAAGCCAAAGCCTGCAACCTTTTCAGGTTCCGACCGGCGATTGCCCAGGATTTCGAGCTGTCTTTGGCATGTCCGCCGGTAAAGAGAGCATCCAGATGTTCGACCATCAGACGTCCTGTAAAGCCCGTGGCACCCACCACAGCGATGGCATATGGCCGCTTCGAACCCGTTGAGGTGGCTGCAGGCTTCCTGGCCACCACATTCTCTGCATCCAGGGGAACCAGGAGCTCTTTGCCCTTTAGCCTGATGCTTACCCAGCCAGTCTCAGGGCCCTCCCCCTCAATTTTTCGGAAGTTGAGACGCTCGCCCGAAAGCTGCAGCTCCTCCACAACTGCATGGGTGGCAAGTCTGGCGTCAAGCTGCTCCGAGCTGGTCTCCTTCTTCTCACGAACAAGAATTCCGCCCTTGTCCCCGCCTCCTACAACCTTCCAGCGCGTTCTTGCCGGCATCACATGTCACAATACTAATCCGTGGTTCTTGCTAGTTGACTTGACTCCCACACACTAGAGTCACTAGAGCAACAGTGCATTGTCAGTTCATGAGTCCCAGATCTGGTATTCAAGCCGCAAACATTGTTAACCCCTGCAGTCATGCGGTGGGGTACCGGGGGAGCCGGAGTTGCGGACGGGACAAGCTCAAGACCCAAGAGGATGGGAGTTGCTACCCGAGACCGACCACCCAAAAATTGTATCCCGACTTTTGAGATCCGGTTTCGGCTCGTCTGTGCCTCGAGGCCGAAGAGCCTTCTCGAGCCTCTGCTGGCACGGGAAGGCAAAGGTGAACACCTGCCGGACGCACTGCCGGACTAACATGCCTGGAACTGCAGAATGTGAACCAGTGGAGGGCGCACACATCCGAACTAGCCTCAAAATAACAACGTCGCCAAGCGGATCCTTGTTCGAGCTATTGAGTGGAGACGCTTCAGAAACTGTTCAAGTCGATACATCCGGCCTGAAGCGCAAGTTCTCTGCCTTGACTCATCACCTGGCAACTGGTGGTTGAAGGGCTAAGCGTGGCAAAGGCGCAATGGAGGCCGAGGGAACTTGAAGGTTCGATAGGGTCTAGGGATATTCCCTCACACAACCGCGGAGTGCATGAGCAACCGCCGTGCTGCCCGGGCCGTCATTCGAAAGAGACGAGTTCAGGCCGTGAGAGTGGTTGGCGAGCGAACGATTCCAGTCATTCGGCGATGTGTAACTGTTTAAAACCATGGCCAGAAGGGGACGGGGCTGCTCATGTACGCGGTCGCTTCGTGAGCCGGGTTGGCGGTAGCATGGAGCTCAAGCGACGAAATGTTTAGTCGCGAGTGACCACATTCAGCCTCATTGACGACAGTTAAATCTGCGAAGTTGGTTTGCCAACATACTACGATAAGACTGAACTACCACTGCCGCTGCTACGCATGCTAGTGGAGCACATTCTTGGCTAGATACCACTATACATCACAGTGTGGTCTCTCCTGCCGGCCGTCAAAATTACACACACGGCCCAGAACCCAGCGTATTGCGTCTTGGACAGGACCCCAGACCCGGACCCTCTACCCTCAACCGCCTGGGCCTAAACCCTGACCCCAGGGCTGGAGCACCTAGACTCCGTCAATGTACCAGCTCCTCGGATCCTGCGGGCTTGGTTTCGGGCTTTTTGGGGGTCCCAAGCATCGTGGACATAATCAGAGACCGCTATGTCTGAAATGGTACTAGCTGGATCAAAGGCGGACTGTCATCCATGACCAGCTCGGAACCAGTGTGAGTGTCAATCTGCTTTTCGGATGCGTTCGTTGTACCGAGGTGATGCTCGAAAACCGGCCTAACTTTTCTATGGGAGCCTCAACTCCACACAAACTCAGTGCTGGTGCAGGAGAAGAGCTCATGACTTGGAACGACACTGCTATCACCGTGCCACCTCGAATCTATAGAGGCATGCGATGACCCAGGCATGAGCAGGAAAAGCGAAAGCGTGAGGAACGGACCGAGACGCACCAATAATTTGTTTGGGGACCGGGAGGCAGGGCACTTTTGAGGCTAAACTCAATGAGTTTGTAGTGTAGCGGTTGGGTTTGCTGTCTCTTCAGCCCAGGAACAAGGAACGACTTGTCTCAAACTTCACAGGCATCGAGACCCTTGGCCTGAGAAGGGTTGGATGATCCTTAACGCCTTCACGCCCATTCGACTTTGACTTGTCAACCGTCAATCTTCACATGGCAAATTCCCAGTACCGTCACAAGCACACCTGCTTACATGCAAGGTGCAACACAGTATGCCAGGGCCTGCACGTCCGTTGGAAGTGCTACCAGTAGCGCTTCGCAGTTCCAGCCTGGCTTCAGCCAGCTCGAGTCGCTTCTGGGCCCACTGCACCCGGAGACCTAAAGTTTTACAATGTTCCTCCTCTTCCTCATCGTCATTACCGTGACCACCGTGATAACCAGCTTCCTGATCATCTGCATCATCATCGCCATCATCACCATAAGCATAGCTTTAACCAGAAACAAGTCTAAGCATAACCACAACCATAAACAAAACGATCGTCATCATCATCGTCATTGCCATCAGCATGTCATCATCGTCCTCACCTGGTTCATCAACGGCATCGTCATTGTAACTGTCTACCTCGTGTTCCCCCTCCGCGTCATCATGGTCAGCATCGTGCTTACAGCAGAATCATAATTAAATTCGTCCTCATCACCATCTGCACTGTTCTGAACAGCATCTAGGAATGCACATGCTCGCACATGGCCCAGCAGTTCTGTCAGGCGTCAGCTTGAGATTGCAAGGGTGAATAGCAGAACCGAGACAGCACAAGATAAGCCGGCACAAGGCAGAATCCGATAGGTTCATTCGGATGGCATATCTCATCAATATACGTTGACTCATACACCATGCAACTCATTGGGTGCTTGCAGTTTGGAAGCGTATGTCGGAGCTATGTCTTTCTAGTGTTGGCTCGCGACTACATGCACAGATATGCAATGCTGACATACAGTTGCAACGCAGTATGCACACATAAATATCTAGTTTTACAGACATGTCATTACGTACAGGTACATATGCCTGTATGTGCATATATGTATATATGCACATGATTGTTGGATGTATCGATCAATCTATGTAAAGCTGTATATTCACGAAGCAGCTTCAGGATACGCGGCACTACGATCACGAAACGTCTCCCTTCGACGCTCCCATGTTTTCGGGGTCTTGGGGACCCACGTTATCGGGCTGTCGAGCTTGGAAGAGACTGCATAGTATGTTCTAAGTTACTATATTAAACGCTATCGTGCAAGCACATAAGGCCATAAAAGGACTATATAACGATATCACCCTTGGTTATTCCGACCCCTCTAGCAGACAGCCCTGAGCCTCTATGCCTGAGCTCTTAAACAATCTCTCTCTCTCTCTCTCTCTCTCTCTCTCTCTCTCTCTCGTACTTTGCTACTGCTTCGGGAGCACCGCTTAGAGGAAGTGGTCCTGGGAAGCCGGCAGGTCTGCGGAAGCCATGCTGGGAATCCGGTAGACTCGCATCACATCCTCCGGTTTCAGGGCGTTCAGGTTTTCTGAGTTCATCAAAAGACATATTAGTAAAGCGTATACGTATGTGTTTGTGAACATATGTATATATATATATATATATAGATATGAATGTGTGTACACTTACACAGATGAGCACACGCTCCCAAAATGACAAGGCGACAGTTGTTGAAAGGGCATGTACTGCCTTGCTTCAGGAATCCGGAACCCTACACCCCAAACCCCTAAACCCTGCACCCTGAGCCCCTAAAGTCCCAAACCCGTAAACCCCAAAACCCCTAAAGGGAACTCCAGAAAGTTGGAATATGGATTAATGGTAGGATCCCCTATAATTTACCTTAAAGGGCTTAGGATAATGATATTCCAACTTTCTGGCTTTTACTTTAAACCCTAAAACCCCCAAACCCCCAAACCCCCGAACAAACTCCCAGCCCGGCCACCGAGACCAGAGGTTCGGGAGAGCCACTGCAACTGGCCCATGCCACTATGGGCTATTAGACCTTATGGGTACCTTAATCTACCCTTAATAGGGTCCTAATAGGGATCTTTAGGGTCTAATAGCCCATAGTGGTGTGTTCTATCGGGGAGGAATGGAAGTTCAAGCAATATTAGATCGTATATTTGCAATGAATCTATACCAACAGTCAAGAATACTTTGGCCATTGAGGTTAGTGTGAAAATATGCATCAAACCTTTCTGCTGATACTACCGTTACTGCTAATAGTACCGATATTTTTGCTATTAAAGTTCGTACCAATAGTCATCAACTCCGCCCGATACGACGAGGAACCAGAGTTTTTCAGTTGCTCTTTATCCCTTGCTGCACAGCCACAGGCGGAATGAACAACTTAGGGGATGCAGGATCCATAGCATAGTGCGATCGTGCGAGCCAGTTGAGCGGCCAGACGCCGAGGATGGACAAAAAAATCATTGCATTGTAGAAGGCTCTGTAGGATGTCGCTGAAGGCACCTGACGATGAAGATGTTTGAAAGGCGAAGCGCACACATGTGCAGGCGGGCGACGCGTTTGCATGTAGCTGCGACCCATCCAGAGAATCGCGCAGTGCCGTCTCGCGCTTCAGTGGCAATTCCGGCAGTGATTTCTGCTTCTGCTGGGTCTCAGAGTTCACGGCAACCCGGAACGGGTGGCCATGAGAAGCCCACGGAAAAAGACCCGGGTGCTCGTACTTCCGCGTCAAAAGCCATTCTCTCTCCTCGCTTCCTCCCGACCCGGGCCCACGGGCTGCAGCCAACTAGAGCCAGAACTAGTACATCGGTGTCCCTGCAATAGGCGAGCGGACAGATAGATAGCTGGGCAGGCAGGGGTAGCTAGGAAGTTATGTGAGTAGGCAGATAGGTAGATAGGTATGCAGATGGATAGATAGACGGATACGTAGGGAGCGAGTCCGAATACTTGCAAACAGCTACAGCCAATGTCAGGTACGGCCGAGAACGCTAACATGCTAAAGGGAACTCCAGAAAGTTGGAATATGGTTTCAGGATAGGATACCTTATAATTTACCATAAAGGGCTTAGGATAATCATATTCCAACTTTCTGGCTTTTACTTTCAGGCTTCATGCCGCGCCTCGGTGATCGACTCTGCTGTATCGGTGTCTACGGCGCAGTATGCATCGGCTCCCAACGCTTGCCTTGGTCTCTGCAGGTTTGAGAGGTTAAGTTTAGGCTTGCGGGTCTGCGATTGAGTATTACGGAATCCGGAGTGGTGAGTTTGCAGGCATCCGGCGTGATGTCAATGTTGCACTAGCCGACATCTCCGCTGCCGGGAACTTTGTGAGTCACGCTACTGAATTTGCGCTCGCTATGCTACGGCATGCTGGGCCTCACCATCGCTTCTTCCGAGCCCCAAAGTAGCACCACGGACCTGTCCTCCATGATCGTCCTTACCAGAAACCTTTGAGCACCCGAATGCCTAAACCCTAAACTCGACCACAACACCCTACACAAACTGTTGATCTGTACAAGCTGAGCACCGTCAACCCCGCAATACTGCAACCCAGCAGCCTTGAAATTCACATGCCTGCACGCTTATTACCTGGAACTAAACACAAAACACGTCAACCCCCGAAACCAAATATGTTGCAGCCGTAACCCACATCCTCACTTCTTTGGCCTAGTCCTAGTTGCCCAATCCCCGTGGCCTCTCGCCCTGAACCCTGAACCCCTGAACCCTATCCCCTAAAGGGAAGTCCAGAAAGTTGGAATATGGTTTCAAGGCAGGATACCCCATAATCTTCCATAAAGGGTTTAGGATAATCATATTCCAACTTTCTGGCTTTTACGTTACACCCAAACTCCTAACCTCAGCTGGGCCCAGGATCTGAACCTACAGCCTCCACCATGAAACAGTAGAACTGAATGTCGGGCGGGGCCATTCATGCTCAGACTAGGGCTCCGTTGCTTAAGGCTTGCTCGAGCAGGGGTCTGTGAAATAAGGGCCTTGATAGTTTTGATCAGGTTTTGACGTGTATTATGGCGGGATTACCATGAGGAGGAGCCCTAAGGAACCATGTCGGCTATCATTCAGCCTTCTATATGTATGTATGTATGTATGCATGTATATATATATATATATATATATATATATATGGATGGTCACGCGCTCCGCGGAACCCCCCTCCCCCCCCCTCCATGGTCTATGGTCCAGGATGTCCCCCCTCCTGTGGGATGGAGTGCTCCCCCTGTGGGGTGGTTGTAGGGGTTTTGGGGTTTTGGGTCAAGCTTAAGCTTTTGAGTTTAGGGTTTCTTGGGTTAAAGGTATAAGGCTTCGAGTCGACAAGGGCTTAGGGAGGGCTTGGGGTGTAGGTTTGCTAGGGTTCACGGTTTAGGCTTATAGAGCCTGCATATAGGCGGGGTTTAGGGTTGGTGTACAGTCATTAAAAGCAGGAGCAGGCGCAACTGCGCTACGTCATACGTACGATGCTGGCCTTGTCCGTGCCGCCTCGCCGTCCCTCCAGCTGCAGCTCCAACGCCCCCCCCCCCCCCCCCCCCCCCCCCCCCCCCCCCCCCCCCCCCCCCCCCCCCCACCCCGTACCAGACCATACCATTGGGGGGTGGCTTGGAATGCCTGACGCCTGACCACCCATATATATATATATATATATAGATAGATAGATAGATAGACTTCTTATACGCACTTCTTGTCTATCTAGTTACGGAACCGTAGAAATGCCGTAGAACTTGAAGCTGCGCCTGGGGGCCGAACAGAGAAAACTCCAGAAACTTGCGCTGCGGATGCAACTCCCTTGGGTGAAAGTCTCGCGCTGTAGTTATCTAAATACCTAAAGCCTATAGGGGCTGAGTAACTCAGTAGCCCAGGCCAAAAAACGGTGAACCGTTTCATTATGGCAGGGCATGGTTGGGTTGCGTCTACCCATAAGGGTGCACATGGTTTCCAGTGCCGGCGGTGATTCTGGTTCTCTGCGCTTCGGGCGTGGCCTGTTTGGGCCTCAACCGCCGTGGCATGGTTTTAAGGAGTCACCCAGATGTTCCTTCCAAGCTTTGTGCTCAGATTCGTCCCCAAGCCTACCTGAAGGTGTTTTGAGAAGGGGGTGCAGAAGGAAAAGATTATTTCAACTGCTTGAGGACTCGTGGGGCTTCTGCAGGTCTTCTCAGCTTAGGAGGTTTGCAGCTTCTATTTCAGGCTCTGTTGTCGAGAGTAGCGGAATTCCTGTGACTGCTGCGATTCCACCCGAGTCACAAACAGCAGCAGGGCCAGGTGCTCCCAAGCATCCCTCTACTCCGAGCCCAAGCCTGAAACCGTAGCCAAATACACACAACTTCAGTGTAAACCCTGAACCCCAAACCCGTTAGTGTACACGACTCTAGAGGACAGACATCGGCACTGATGGGGCCACGGCTGGATGAGCGAATACCTTGGGCTGCAGCTCTTGAAACAGTCTTTTGCAGTGTTCGGAACAGCCTGTCACCCGGCCCCGCCCCCTCTCCCCCCCCTCCACCCTTAGAATCATAATAAACATACTATTCTCTTGGGTTTTATATGAACAAAAATACAAAATAGTTCCTCACTCACGAACCCTAAAATACCTGAAACCCTACCCTGCACCCCAAAGCTGCCCCCAAAGTCTGGACTCCGTCGATGGAGGGTCTGGGAGCCTTGGTCCCAGATTCCTGGAAGCTATAGCTAGGAGTTCCGGAGATGTAGGGGGCGTACATGGTAAGAAGTGGGTTTTGCAGTTGTGTCATACTTAGATGGGACTACAGATACATTATTGGCACCACGCTCTGCTGTCCGTCCCAACGAAGCCAGGCTGCATTTGCTGGAGGTTTACGACGGGCTGGCCGCACACCTTGAGCACCCTCCGGTCATTGAGGTACCCATAGCCTGCCGTACGCCTGGGAAGCGAATCGCCGAAGTGTACAACTGTCACTTGTCATATCTGGTCACGAGACATCCCCACTCACTGCATGTTCAAGGCCACTACGTATAGTATAACTTAGTAACAACAGTGGTTTATAATTGTAACCACAGCAACAGACACCTTCAACTGGCATGGCCGAATGAGAAGTACAAAACTTTGCGAATGATATGTTAATTCTCTTTTAAACAGCATTTTGCCCTAAACAAATGCTTCACTACTGTAAACGCCAAACATCCGAACAAAACTCTGGCTTACCTATGGGCTCGGCTGTAGTTCCTTTTTTGGTTTAACCAACTATTTCTGGAAATTAAACCAAAAAGTGGCAAAGGAGACTGTATCCACTAAGATCATTGTCCGGACCGAACGTAGCCGTAAGACCTCAACACCAAGAATCAAGAGCATATTTATAACTAGGGCTCTACATTTATTCAAAAATCATCCCGGATCGGTACTTAGTTCATCATGCACTCAGATGAAACTGGACACATCGGTGCCGGGGCAGTGGCTTGGATGGGAAGCACTTGCTGAGGACGACAACCTCTTCCTGTTGCCGAAAGGCCACTTCGGAGTTACTCAGTTGGTGGGGGCGGTCTGATCAGCTAGACATCTTTCAAATGAAGATTCTTCTAAATTTTTAGTATTTAGGAGTCGTAGATCCTGTTAAACGATGGGTGTTCCCTTCGATTGGCCTTTGCACCCAACCCTTGGCTAGCTGAGAAGGGTTGGTCTCAAGGAATGCGCTTGGGAAGCACAAAACGAATGCGGGACTCTTCACCGGCGTGGTTCAGGTTATCTGCTGCCCTAGCCACTTGCGAGTTTTGATGTCCGAAGGGCTGTGAGCCCGTCTTCTTTCCTGACTTCTGTGCCGCTCGTAATTCACTCAGCTCTAGCGCCAACCTGACCCAAACAACAGGCCCACATCCGATCCGAAACTGCAACAACCAAGGCCTAGGCCTCCAAGGCTTCAGCTTGAACCCTCAGTACTACAACCTTCAACGCTGAATCCTGACCCCCATAACCCTGAACCCTATCACCCCGACCTGAACCCCATAACTCTAAACCCTAAGCCCTAAGCCGGGGTACTTCGGGGACGGAGCGGAAGCCCTCCGAGACGAGATTCGCGAGCTCGACTGGGGCATCCTCCCGCCAATGCTCGCCTCCGCTTTAGGGTCTTGGGCTTAAGGAGCTTGCGTGTTTTATATCGGCCCTCATCTGCGCTGCACTAAGGAGTTGAGGGCCTTGGCCTTAAGGTTCAGGGCTTATAGGGTTTGGCGCGTGGATTTAGCTTGGGTTCCAGGCCTTTGGGACACAGGGTTTTCAAGCTTTAGGGCTTTGCAAACCCTTCAGCAGGCCCGGAAATACCTCAAACACCTGAACATCATAGTCATAGGCCGAAAACAGCAAGGGAATCCCTAAACCTTACGAGCCCTAAACCCTGGGGTCTGGTGCTTATGGTTTCTGACCGCAAGAGACAGTTCGATCCCCAAACATGGAATAAGCAGACAAACACGCATGACTCGTCGGAAGTCCTCTGATTTCTAGGTTCAGGCTCCAGGTGCATGTGCGTGTGTGCTTGTGCGCCGGTTTGTATTTGTGCGAGTTCCCGCCTTCAGAGTCCTTCGCATTGTCTTCTCAAATCAACGGGACCCTTTAAATCCTTGAAAGCACTTATGAGGCAAGTCCTCCGTCGGGCTTGGATCCTTTGATCGGCGACGGCATCTTTCTATGGGCCATGGGCCCGATACGGTTTTTTTCAGCTCCGCAGCCCGGAACCTCGCACAAGTCACTGAGGCACTGGCCCCACTCCTGCAAATATGGCCTCATGTGACGTTCTGACCGGGCAGTAGTCCAAAGCTCGAAGCCCCACATGCCAAAGCATAACATTTCAGTTTGGATCCAAGTTACTTGCAGACTACAGCCCACTACAGCAGGCTTTGCATCCTGCACACGGGAGTACTCGAAACGAACAGACCCGACAATGTCCTATTTCACCGACTATGCACATACGACTTGTTTCATCCAGTCCATGTTCTATGAACCGATTTATGATTTATCATGATTTATCCATCTATAGATGTTCTACCTCGGAATGTTGCATGCATGGACAGACGGATAGAGGAAGGCTCGCTCCAAAGCTTGCACTGCAGGGTAGCTCAAAGTACATGCAACATCATGCAACTGGCCGAAGTCTCCGACACGTGTTGTTGGGGCGAACTGCGGGTGCTCCGGGCACAGGTGCGAGGTTCGGACTTGAAAACACGCTCATGCAAACTTGGTTTTCTGCTTGCAGGGCTAGCTCTCTGGTTTGGGTCAAGCGCTTCGGGACCCTGAACCGCAGATGCGAACCAACTGAATGGACGTTTCAAGTCTTGCCAAGTCACGAGGTCAAGGGCAAGAAGAGCATGCCACCGTAAAGAAACCAAGACTGCAGCCGGTCATGAACCTGTTGATCTTTATCTGAAAGCATGACACGTAGGTGGGATTTGTGCAATCCATGTCTGCCTGTCTATCTTAAGGCCATGGACATGTCCCGAAAATCTCATGTGCTGGCGCTGAAGACAGGCAGGGATCTGTTTGGGATATGGTTAAGGCTTGGCAGAGCTTTCACCAATCCCCAGCAAACTACATGCCCATGTTCCCATCACTCGGCACTGCTCGAGCAATTATGACATGACTACATCGTGAGACTCCGATAGAGAAACAAAGAGAGAGGGCAAGAACAGGGGACGAAAGAGATGAATATAAAAACAATACAGTAGACAACGACACACTCGCACAGACAGCCCGACCGACAGACAGATCGACAGACAGAAAAAAGAAAGGTAGGAAGAGACAGAGAGCAAGAGAGAGAAACAGAGGGATAGAGAAAGAGCAACAGAAGGGCCTCATCATGAGCCCTACCCCCGACAGCCGACACCCCAGACCAGGTGCGCCTCCCGAGGCACGAGGCATGGAATCGGGTAGGCAGGCACGGCCAAACCTTGACTCGAGGGTGAGAAGTTATGCAATAGAACCCGAAAGCTGTCAACCCTAGCCTAATGCCAAAATCCCCTTAAGCTCCGAATCTAAATCAACATTTGGCATTAAGGTGTTTAGCCGCAGTGGCTTTCCGATGACGTAATGCTCTCAGGGCTTCGAGCTTCAGGCATCGGCCGCTGATGGGCAAGCAGTAGCAAAAGCTGTCATTGGGAACTCTGCCAGGAACTACTTTTGAATTTTGTGTGTTAGCTGTACAGTAGTTCCTGTTGCGGCTGAAGCACTCGCTCGCATTTTTAGGATCCAATAAGTGAAAAAGAAAAGGAACTACAATGGACCATAGGTTGTTACCGTGCATGTTACAGGCGTCTGTCCCGAAGAGACCAGCCCTCTTTGTACCCATAAATAGTAGTTTGGCAGGTTTGGCTTGCCGGGTGCCCCGCAGATCTCACGCCCTTCACGAACCACCCGCATTTCAACCTCAGCCGGCAAGCTGACACGCTCAGACCACAAGAAATACATCTCTTGCGAGTGTATATATATATATATATATATCTATATATATATATATATATATATATATATATATATATATAGATCTTTCTACGGCGCATTATTGTATGATGGTCCCCACGCGCAAGCCCGACAGGGCCCGCAGAATTGCAAGCCATGCACAGCGACGTGCAGTGATGCTGCTGACGCGGAGTCCAGCGGCAAAAAATTCAAGACGGGAGACGAACTGTCATTGTTAGAAACGAAGCCATCAAAAGAACAAGCATCCTCACAACAAAAGGAGTTCACAAATACCAAACCCTAACCCTTTAAATTCATGATTCCCTACGCTATTAGCATGGAAACAAGTGAGTGAATATTACCGGCCTTGTCGCCAGGAAACTTCAAGTTCACGAGGTGCTGGAAAGAAAGGCGCTCCTGACCAAAAAAGGTCCTAAGATGGGTTACAGGGTTTAGGGATTTAGAGTTTAGGGTTTAGGATTTGTAATTTGTACAGGCTGTCGATTTCGTGATTTGTTCGTTCACAGGCTCTCTGTGTGGCTGCCTGACCCCTTCCCCCGCATCTCCTCTGTGTGAACCTCAGGATGAGCCCCAAGGTCCCACGGTGAAATTTCGTTTCCTCCAATGGATCTGGGCTCGCGCCGAGCAGTTTCACTCACGTACCTTTTTCCCCTGCTTCCGCCTCCCCCCCCCCCGATTCCTCCCTTCTTCCTTTCGGGCTGTTATGGCCTGTGGGGCTTGGTAGGCTTTCGGGTTGCTGTTTTTCCGAAACAATGCACCTGCTTCAAGCACAGCCGGAGGCGGACGACGCGAAGCCGCGAAGCGTTTGAATGAATACTGCTCATCCTCCTGTTGGCTATGACTACTCTGTTTGTAGCCCTGCAGGATCCTAATACAAAATTTGTAACAAAAAACTGTCAAAGGAACTACAACGAAGACTCTAGGTACCCCGAAAACATCCTAAGCCCCTCTGCGCGTCCTGGGAGCCGACCTGAAACGAACCGTTGTTGGAAATCTTCTGCCCATCCATCTCGAGGATCACATCCTAGCTTCGGGCTTCCAGGAGGGCCTCTCTCTAGGTGAGCTTCAGGGATTCGGGTTTAGGGGTTCGGGTCCTCAGTTGGAGGCTTCGGGTTTAGGGGTTCACTTATCCTGAAAGCTTTGGGGAAAGTTTGCCGAGAAGTCCATGCGAGTTCCGACTGCTTCGGCGTGCTTTGAATCGCGAAGCCTCTCCGGAAACCCAAGTAGTCCAAAGTACGGAGTGCTCATGCAACTTAGGCAAACTATCAGGATGATGATCAGTGAGTCCGTGGTGGTGGTGATGGCGTCTCAGAGGACCAAACTCGCAAAACAGACGCCCATTCTGCCGACAAACATCATCAAATTTAGAGTATAGCCGCAACGCCTAAGCATGCAACTAAACCCTTCGCCTGAAACACTCCACCAACAGAACTTCCCCCACAAGGAGCTGAGTTCCCGGCTGCCGATCTGAGGAAACCTCGCCGAACGCAGGGATGCTCTGTGGCTTCCCCGACAGTCTCCGTTGTAAAACCTCTTTCAAGGTTACCTTACAGGATCCAGAATACCAATTGGCTACACCAAGCAAAGGAACTGCAATGAAGACTATAGGGAACTCTGAGCTGCAGATGCATGCCACTGATGCAGACATGAAGTTTGAGAGCTTGCCGTCTATTCCTTCCCAGATCCAGTCCCTCGCCAACTTGAACGAGCCCAAGAAGAGAACATCGAGGAATCCGCTCTGCGGGCTATGAACCTTTTGAGCACGGCACCATTCACACTACAGTCACTCATGCAAGGAATGACTCTTTAGGGTTCACCGGGATTTTTAGGGCTTTGGGGATTAGGGGCTTAGGGTCGCGAAGTTCCGATTGGGCATTTGGGCAGTCTTTACCATGGCAGCCCGAGGCTTCTCCACAGGCCCACCCTTCCGAAACGCCTTCGGCGGGCGCCAGTGGCATCAAGCCTCGAACGTAGACCTCGGAATTGCTTTTGGATTCAGGGGTGAAGCTTCTGGCACCACCGAAACACCTGGTCCGGAAAGTCGGCTTTGCTGTCACACAGTAGAGCTGCACCCGAACTCTGGCTCACCGAGCGGCTCCTGATTGCTTCGCCTCCAACCCCAGAAATGTGCGCCTCGTCTGTGGGTTGATGGGACTTGGGCGGGGCAATGTCACAATGTCGAGGCCCCCTTTGATGGCCTCAACAATTTAGAGAAGGGTTAATTCAGGCTTCACTGGGAGTTCTCTCTGTGGTCAGGCGTTTCTGATGTCGCCATGAGGAGTCACATGGGGTTTCAACCCCAGCTGGCCAGCCAGCCATGAAGTTACAACTAGACTTTGGAACTTCCGAGTGCCTGTCACGAGTCAGAATGCCGATTCCACGAATGCAAAGCAGGCCTCTGAAGTGTAGGCCAAGATCCGACAACCAGTTCCCAACCACCCAGCAATCGGTGCGAGAACTGCGAGGAAAAGACAAGAGTTGCATGCCCTCCTTGTGCTACGGTTGTTTAGTCGTGAGAAGTGTATCACCCCCCCCGATCAGCGCTGAGCAAATGCTGAATCTACGCGCAAAATGCGCGGCCTTTGTCAGACTAAGGCCCAGACAGCTGCTGGTTCTCGAGATCCTGTAGGCCCCGGCCCGGTTCAGGAAATTGAGGGTCGAAGCGTCTGAAGCCTAAACCCTAACCCTAAAGCCCTGCAGCCTTGAACCCCAAATAGGGAGGAGGAGACGGAGGGCTGTTGCCGACCTTCCAGAGTGGTCCATGTCAGCTGAAGCTTCTTGGCCCAAGCCTATACTAAACCATAAAGTAATGTCCCTTATGTCGGGAGCGCCCGGGAGGGAGCCAAAAAATCAACAGTATGTACGGTCCTTTCGCGTGTTCGATTGCGTTATATGCTTGTCGTGGAGATGGGCGGCCCCTTCGAACGCTGGTACTTAAGGCAATTTGCGTTTGGCGATGTTGTCCGAAAAACAGACAGCAACAGTATTTACTATTTACGGTGTCTTGTGCTTGTGCATAAAGCAGTCGTGTTCGGGTAAAAATAGACACGGCGGGTGTCCCCGATTCGTTCGCACATACCTCGTAAGTCCCAGTAATTTGCCTTTCGTGTGGGTTTTTTACACATCGACTTTCCTGCAGAAGCCTGAAACGACGGCTGCGGCGACGAGGGTTGCGGCAAGTTGCGGGCTTTACAAGAGCTCATCACTCCCCAGACCCGATGCGTTGCCACAGAGCATCCACGCCCGAACCGCGATAACGTCCGGTTCCTAAGTTAGCGTTCTTACACGCCCATCTCGCCGAGGAGGTTCTGGGTTTTGAGTCACGGGTATTATCTCAATAATCTTTTAGCTTCTGGACTATTCTGACTCAATGGGCTTTTGCAGGGACGGGATGATGTCTTCTATAGATATGGGTGCTCCTGCGGAATTCCGCACCTTTTTGGTCAAAACACATCATTCTAAAGCATATCTAGGACGGTTTGGTTCAGGGAACCTGGAGCCCCGAAACTAAGGGCCCAATATAGGGGGACCTAATAATTAGAATAGGGTGTTCGGGTATATTGTATATTATAACTATAGTAAGGAACCCCCGAAATGGTATATAGGCAACTAGTAGTAAGGTCCCTATAGTAGGATTGGAGTCCAGCGACAGAAGTCATACAGCCTAGCATTAATCCACAAGTCTGCAGCAGGAGTCGGTGCGATGTCACCCATCAGCCATCCGTATCTGATCTCGGTGCAGGCATTGGCTGCGACAATCTTCCCGCATCTGTTGAAAAGAAGCAATCACCGTTCTTGCAGCACGTGTGCTCCCATAAATGGTTTCCCAAACCGAAGCAAAAGCACAGAGTATCTGTATGAGGAAGGGTTCCACCTGCGGGAAGAATGAAGCTTGAAGCCGAGACCAGACTGACCGCTTGACCTTTACATGTCAACAGAAAGAGACCCTGGACAAATCTGAACGGTCAACTGACAAACCCGTCGACACGGCAGACGGTTAAGACTAAACAGCTCTAGTTTCCAGAATCGTATTCCAAAACCAAAGAAGACGTAGATGAATGTGGTCTCGTTCTTGGATCTGAATGTCTTCGATCGCGCGAGCCAGTTTGACCAGTTGTCCGGAGGACGTGCCAGTGCTAGTGTGAGCTATCCGGCGTACTGCGCATAGTCTGATTAAAAGCTCTTAAAGCAGCTACAACTCACATCGCTGACATTCGCTGAAGCAAGTGCTCAAACCGTGAGAGTTGACAGCAGGCCTGCCAGAGAATGCCCAGCCCGCACCAGCCCCGGCACCGGGTTCTGTCCTGTGCAGATTTAGCACAGAGGGCTGTGGTTTGAGATAGTATTCTTATTACTGCCTCGTTTGGAAAGATGGTGCTTGTGCAGGTCAATACGAGCCCGAGCTGCAATTAAGCATGACACCTTCAACTGGGAAGCCCGCCTATTGAAAGTTCGAAGGCCCTTTACAAAGCAACGGAAAAGGCAGCAGGTATTTCCTCGTCTGCGTATTGTTATGAAGGATCAAAACGCCTGTAGACTGCAAAGTAAGAGGCCGTCAAAGCCCAAATAAGGGAAGCAAACGTCAGTAAGTCTAGAGGACACGAAGTTGTTCGGCTCCACGTGGTGCACACGCAAGCTCTTGCTCCTAACCTCGCGATGCATAACAGTAAGGGCTGAGCATGAGGAAAGCCTATGTTCTGCCTTGGGATCCGGGGAACGTTGCAGGGGAAGATCATCTTCATGATCATCATAATCAACATCATGTGCCAGCAGTGTGACACCGTAAGTAGGTACGAGCAGTTCTCGCAGTGTTTGGACCGTCCTGAGGGTCCGTGTCCGCCAGGAAGTGCTTGATGATGGGCACGGGGATGACATAGCCGATGTTTTGGGAGCTCAGAGACGCAGAAAAGGCTTCAGAGTTGCGAAAGTTGGGGTGTGCAGTTGTCGGGCTGCGCATCAAGTAAACACACAACACTGCGGCATTCAAGGCTCAAGGTTTTAAGGCCCTTTGGCACGGACCCAGGCAGCTGAGGCCCCCGCTTGAGATGGTTTTGGAAAGCGATGCCGATGAGCAAGCTTTCCTACCAAGTTCCGAAAGAAACTCCCAACCCTATCGGACCCTTGTCTGGCCTTGGTGATGGTGAGCACACAGATAACAACAACGACAGCAACAAGAAGGATCTCTGCTTCGGTTGACCTTGTTGTTCCTACTGTCGCTATGTAGCAACTCACTTCATATCACTGTCACTGCATAGCAGAACCACATCATCACATAGACTCGTCATGATTCCTGGTGATCCGGTGCGGGGTCTGGGATTAGCCCCTGCGGCAACTGAACCCTCTTACCGATTCGATTCCGACAGCTTCGTAGTAGCTTAAACTGACTGCAACCTTTGATGCTGCAATCTTGTTCGTCATCAAAGTAACCTACATACACAGTACAGATGGAGTTGGAATGTTTCAGAGTACCATGCCATCCCGCCCTAGATGCGGCCTCTGAGATGTCATGCTGTGCAGCTTTACCAAGCCTGTGTCCATGCTGTCCGAAAGCATACTGTCTCGACATCTACGGTGGATGCAACAACTAACTACGGAAAGATGAGGCAGCTTTCATAAGAAGCTAGTGCTTCTGCTCCGAATGTGCCACACGCGCCTCGCTAAGGACGGGGCCGCCCGAGTTTCCAGGATTGATGGCAGCCTTCGCAGTGGTGGTAGTAGTAGTAGTAGTAGTAGTAGTAGTAGTAGTAGTAGTAGTAGTAGTAGTAGTCTGAGGACGAGGAGGCGGAGCTACAGGAGGAGTATCAGCAGCAGGAGCGGCAGGAGGAGGAGGAGGAGGAATTACCACTGACACTTACTCACACAAGCTAGAAAGGTTGCAGAGGCCCATTGGCTTACGTTCAGGTTTTTACTGGCCCCGAGAATTTCTAGTGACAGCCAGCCGCTGACACTGCAGGTTCAAGCGATCAGCACATTATACCATGTAGTTGCCAACAATTGACACCTATAACA